CAGCATGTGAGAGGCAGGAACTTCTGTCTAATCAAAATTCCCCTGATGGACCCTTAAATTTCCCATAGAGTCCAGGGTTCGTGTAGAGCTGAACAGTGGTATTCTGTATAAATACGAACAGTATGATTTTTGTCCATCTCTCAGTCTGGGACACTGAAAGCTGGGGAGGGTAAAGTCACCCAATTTTTAAAACTTTTATTTCTCAGTCTTCCTTCTCTATCTCTCTCTTACTCCTCTTCCCCCTCACCCCATCTTTTTTTTTTCTTTTTTTTTTCTTTTCTTTTTTGCCAAACACATATATTTGAGTTCCCTAAGTTAAATGTAGTATTTAATAATAGTGTAAAGCTATACTATTGTCATATTTTTACAGTGAAGGATGATACTAAGGCTCAGAGGCATCAAGGCACATGTTTGAGATTGCACAGCTCATAGAGTGTGGGGCCAGGAGGTGAACCCTGAGGCAGGGGGACTTCAAAGCCTCTGAGCTGTCAGCTGGGAAGGCAGACCTCTTCCTGGGCCTGCCATTCCTGCCATGTGGCCTCCGTGGGCCCCTTCGGCTGACTGCACTTGAGTGTCAAAACCAACTAACGACCCAGCTATCACCAACTTGGGCCTCACTTTAAAAATAAGTGTTTCAACCAGCCTAGCCCTGAGGTTTAATAGCCGATATTGTATGCACATTAAACACCAAATGATTGTTAACATATTTATTGAAGCTTAACAGGCATCCAGTATATAAACGATGACTCTTTTATATGGCTGATAGACCTGAGTAAACATGTTTAATAATTAATTAGCATTAAGCAAACATAATTGGGTGATTCTAAATTAAGTGCTCAGTGAAGCGGATTGTGGATGGAAAACCACCGTGGTGTTTTATTACTTAAAGTTCATGCCGCCAGTCTGGCTTTTCATATATCAAGAAAGGAGCCCCACTTTCCAAGTCATGTCACAGGCCTCCTGCTGCCTCAGACTGCAGAGGCAGGTGCCTACCTGTCCCTCCACCCTTGGATTTGAGAAAGCTTTTTTCCTTTGGTTGGCTGTTTTTCTTTCTGTATGGCAACTTGGGGTTCTGCAAGTCCTGAGCCAAGGAACTGCGTAACGTGAAAGAGTTCTCACAGATCGGCTTTCAGTTGAATTAACCTTGGATGCTATAAACTCCACCCCCCACACCCACCAGGCCCAATGCAGCTGATTCTCATTATTTACCATAGTTGTATTCTCTATAGTTGTTGCAGACGCTAAAGTAACACATAAAGAACTATGGCTCCTAGGAAAAATACTGGATTAGGTTTGTCAGGATTAGGTTTGTCAACCCTGAGGACGAAGATACCTACCAAAAAGGGGTCCTGTGGCTAACTGGTCTCAAATTTAAAAGCAGAACCTAGCAGCCATTAACTTTCTCACACAAGCCATACTTTAACAAGAAGTCTGCATTAAACTGCCCATTGTTTGCACTGAACTGCCTGCCTTCAATGTGTTCCTGCTATCTGAGTCAGCCCTTACAAAGAAGTTCCTGGAATCCTATTTTAACCAATAGAACTGAGGCATTTCCTGTCCAATCGGAGCTGGGCAGCTATATCTCCATTAGCATCTTCACTGACCAATCAGAGCATGCCTTTTGAACCAATCAGACTTCAAGGATTTGGAGTCCTCATTTGTATGAGGTCGGACCAAATGGGGCTAGGATCAGGGACTTCTATCCATATAAGTCAGCTTCCCTCTGCCTCAGGGAGAAAGAGCATTCTTCTCACAGCCCGGTTGTATCACAGTTGAGCTCTTTGCACTGAATAAAGTTTCCTTCTTCACCACATCCCAAATTGGGATTCTTGTTGAACGTCAAATTGGAGCCAGGTTTCTGTGAGCCTCTGGTCACAACATTTTTGTCAGTGGATCAATACATAATCTTGTTTTATGTGCATTTTGTTTCTGTTTAATGCATATTATTTAATGCATATTGCTGATTCATCAACATTGAACTCACAACCATTCACTCTTGAATGAAACTTAGCTAACATACGTATTTTCTCTGAAAGATGCATCACAGCCTTTTTGTGCTTAGGAACATTAGGTAGCACTTCAGCATTATGCTTGAGGGCCATTTTAAACAGAAAAAAAGCCGAAAAAATGTGGCACTAAATAGACCACGGAAAGGACATTTGTGTAGAGAGCTAAGCGAGGGTGGAGCATTGCCTCTTTCAACCACAGCTGGGAGCCAGATTAATAAACAACGCATGTTTTGTTTTGTTTTTGCAACTCTGCCCATGCATGATTTAGAAGTGTCATGGGTGTTGATTTTGAGATTGCAAATAAATTTGGACAAGTTTGAAAATACAGAATCCTTGACTAGTATGGCTCGACTGTGATCAGATTCCATCAAACACATGGCCTGTGTATAGCCTCTGCCAGGTCTTCTATGAGCTGTTCTGCTGCCTGGAACATTGTCTGTCCAACCCCAATGATGCTTTAGCACACATGTGTCAAACACAAGGCCCGCGGGCCAAATCCGTCCCGCCAGGCCTTGCAATGTGGCCCGCACCGCGCTGTCATCACTGCACTCCGCTGCGTTTCCATCACAATGACAGTTTATGACTGTTCAATAAACCATTCAGCCCGCGATTTAGGCTGGATTTTAGATTTTGGCCCCTTCTCTGATTGAGTTTGACACCCCTACTTTAGCATATAGTAGGTACACAATAGATATACTAGTATGTCCAGTTCAACTGAGTAGTTTTTAAATAAGAAGCCCAAACTGATGTCCTTTGAAAATGCTCTTCATGTTTCTCCAGTCATCATTTCTTTTCCAAGTTGGTTATTATTTCAATCTACTTAATATTCTACTTTGCCTTTTAACTTTCTCTCACCTGCCCCTAAATCCTTCAGAAACTTGAAAATGAAGCCATTTCCTCTACTGGCAACAAATCCCTCAAGATTCATTGAAAGGAATGGGGAAAAGTGTATCCCAAGGAGGCACTGCTGGCCAGTGGGACCTGTGTGACAGGGAAAAACTAACCCCAGAATCTCATCCGTATATGAAGCCTGGCCACACACACCCTACAGGGAGGCGTGGGTGTCAGGCTTACTACCTTTATAGAAGAATCATCCGGAAGTAGTACCATAACTTTTAAAAGTCACTCTAATGGCAAGCTGCCTGGCTCTAATGGAAAGATAAAGGGTCTTCTGGCACCACTGGATCTTCCTGGTCTCACAGAGAACCCACTGTTGCTCTACCTGGAGGTTTGGTGCTGCCTGTGAAGCTTGGCCCTGCCATGTGGGGAAGCTATGCATTTCTGGAATTATTTCCCTAAGGACCTAAAAACATGGGAATAAACATATGTTATAGAAGTCATGCATAGTCATTTTAAAAGTTTGGAAACTACAAGTGTTGGCAAAGATGTGGAGAAAGGGAACCTCACATAACTGTTGGTGGAAGTGCAGACTGGTGTAGCCACAGTGGAAAACAGTATGGACTTAGTTACCTAAAAAATAAAAAAAAATGGAACTGCCTTATAACCCAGTAATTCCACTTCTGGGAATGTATCCGAAGAAACCCAAAACACTGATTTTAAAGAATATATGCATTTTACAATAGCCAAACTATGGAAGCAACCCAAGTACTTATCAATATTTAAGTGAATAAAAAAACAGTGGTACATATATACAATGGAATATTACTCAGCCATTTAAAAAAAAAAAAAAAGAATAAAATCTTACCATTTGTGACAACAAGGATGGACCTACAGGGTATTATGCTAAGTGAAGTAGGTTAGTCAGAGATAGACAAATGCCATATGACTTCACTTATATGTGGAATCTAAAGAACACTATAAGTGAACAAACAATACAGACTATAAACTGATGGTTGAAAAAGGAGGAGGCTTAGAGGACAATAAAAAAAAAGGCGAAGGGTATGAGAAGTATAGATTTGTGGTTAAAAATAGTCTTGGGATGTAAAATACAGCATAGGGAATATAGTAAATAATATTGTAACAACTATATATGGTGCCAGGTAGGTATTGGAAATATGGTGGGGAGGGAACACTTTACAAAGTGTGTGAATATCTAACCACTCACTATGCTACATGCCTGAAATGAAAAGAAAATAATATTGAATGTAAACTGTCATGGAAAACATTTTTTAAATTAAAAACAAAATAAAGAGCAGCATACGCAGTCTCGCCATCACTTAAACATTTTAGTATTTTGATATATTTGGGAATGTTTTTCTTTTACCCATGGGTTCTCAGTATAATTTTAGTCCTACTGCATATGAAAGTTAGTAACCTGCTTTATCCCCTCCACTTCACATGGCATTCTAAACATGTCAGTGGGATCACATAGTTCACATCACCCTTATTTAAATCAGCTACAAAGAAGCCCATTGATTGATTGCATTATGGTTTGCTAACAATTCAGCTATTGTCAGAGGCTCTTCTAGTTTGTTTACCTGTTCTATAAATAACAGTGCAATCTGCCTTCTCTTATTTTCCTAAAGCTAGGAAATTCCTGTCTGGGATTATTCTTAGCCCAGATTGTCAGGAGTGAAGTTACTGGGTCATTAGGTTGGGACATTTTTAAGGCTCTTGATAATATGGCCTCATTGTTAGGAATGTGGAGAAGCATGCTCACCTCAGAGTGTGCTCTCATCTTTTTTTTTTTTTTTTTTTTAACTTTCTGCTAAGTTTAAAAGAAACCCAGAGTTGGTTTCCTCACCAGGGCTGTGCTACACAGGACATTCACCTTCAAATGCCCAAGCCTGTGCTTCTATAGCCTTGTACCATGCATACATGCACACATGCGTATGTGCATTCATGGACAAAATACAGTATATTTCTAAAAATTTATGATATTGGCAAGTAATTTCTGCTTTTCCCCAGCATTTCTTGAAAATCTTTCAAAACTTCCTGCCTGGTGTGCTTGGGTTTCTGTGTTTTTTTGTTTGTTTGTTTAATCTACTCATTTTAATTCTCTCCCTCTCTTTCCTACTGATGGAAATGCAGCTCTTGAGGATGACAATTGCCAAACAGAGGCTTGGGGATGAAGAAATTGGTGTGCGGCACTTTGCAGCCCACGAGCGTGAAGACCTGGTTCAGCAGCTGGAGAGGGCAAAGGAACAGGTATGGATAACATCCATTCGAAGCAGGAAATGTATTTGCACAGCTGGACACAATGCAGAGAAGAGGGGACCATGTCCCTGTAGCCCAGAGGGTGTGAGGTGCCTGGGATGCGAGTCAGAGGGGTAGGAGAGTGCCAGCCCAGTGTTTTTCCTTCGGGGTGCTACTCTGCGAGGCTCCTAAGCCACCTCTGTGCTTCTGGCTTCCAACAGGTCTGCTCTGTTACTTTGGATACCATTGTTCTGAACACAATAAGAGACTTCCCCCCCCCTCCCCCCCACTTACCCAGGATAGACAAGGAGAGAACAAAACGTGACAAACTGGCCTTAATTTGCAAGTTTCCGCTCAAATGCTGAGCAGTGCTTTTTAGGCAAAATCTCAACGGGTACAGAGTCCTAGTTAGGGAACAGCTAAGAGAGGCCCAGGCTTGCTTTCCTTCTCTCGCTAATTGGTTTTGAAGAGCAGAACACGGGTTTCTGGGCCTAGAGAGGCTTGGAAAAGCCTGTGTTTGTAAGACCTTGTTCCCAGCGTCGGGATTTGGCCTCTCCGAGCCTCTGATTTCAGGGCGCACTGCCTGTTCCCTTGATCAGTTCTGTTTCTCCAAGCCGGTGCACCCCTCCCACCTTAGAGTGAGTGTCTGGCAGGATGCCGGCCCCTTCCTTTTAGCTTTGATCGTATTCCAGCGAGTGGCTCTTAGGGTTTTACAGCAGGTGGGTCATCTTAGGCTCTCTCTAAAAACCAGCCAGCCACGCAGAAAGCCCCACCGTGGGTGCCTGAAGAATGTCTTGAGGAAGGGCGCTTCCTCTGGTTTCAGATTGAGTCTCTGGAGCATGACCTGCAGGCCTCTGTGGATGAGCTTCAGGACGTGAAGGAGGAGCGGTCTTCCTACCAGGACAAGGTGGAGAGGCTCAACCAGGAGCTAAACCACATCCTGGGTGGCCACGAGAACCGCATCATCGACGTGGATGCCCTGTGCATGGAGAACAGGCAAGTGGCTGGGCAGGGCCTGCCGGCAGGCAGAAGGCTGGCTCACCACCGGCCCGAGGGCTAGGAGTTATTTGCAGCCCTATTCACATTTGGGGGAATTGCCTTACCATGGAAGGAACATCACACTCTCCCCACCCCCTACCCAATAATAACATTAATGTCACAGATTAGTAGTCCGTGTCAGAAAGAAGCACCACACACCTGCACGCCCACGTGTGCCCCTTTTTCTCTCCCCTCCCACCCAACTGGGCGAGAGAGCAGGGAGCCAGTGAAAGCTGCCTGTTACTGCTATCAAGGAGAAAGAAAAGAATGAGAAAATAAATTGAGAAATTCCCTGAGCTGCCTCTTTTCCCCGAGGCAAATTTCAGTTGTGTATGTGTCTAACTCAATGTTATGTCTGCTGTTGCTTCTTCCCAGTGGAATCATCTTAATGAGAATTATGTGAAAAGCGTGCGGATATCCCTTAGGGGATCTCTGCACGGGGCTCTTCTTAAGCGGGGTTTCTGTGATTTGGGCATATTTGACCTTGATTGCAGCCACTTAAGCAGAGGTCGCACAGACCCACTTCCCCGACCCCTCCCTTTGGGGGTGAGAAGCATTGTATGTAAAAGATGGTTCTTGAGGCCTGTGCTCTTTCCTCCTCTCCTATGTGAATGTATGTGTGGTGTTGTTTTTTTGTTTGTTTGTTTATTTGTTTGGTTTTTGCCCCCAAACACTTTTTTTTTTTGGTGCTTGTTTTTTTCCAGGTACCTTCAAGAGAGATTAAAGCAACTTCATGAAGAGGTCAACCTCTTGAAATCCAACATTGCCAAATACAAGGTAGCAGAACCATGGCGATGGCATTGGCAGTTCCATTGCACATCCAAATATCATCCTATTTCATTCTCTTGTATGTGCCAAAGATATTGTATGTGCCAGGGAGAGGCCCATAAGAGCTTTAATCAAGGTAACTAATGAGAATTAAACCCGAGACAACAAAACAGCTTTTGGGAGAGTTCCTTCCATCAGGACTGGGCACACAGAGACCCCAGAATCCAGACATGGCCCCTTGACAGTCCATGGGACCTCAGGCTTCTTACCTGGCTTTTCCTGACACTGTTCTGTCACCAGATGCTATTGGTCTCATCCTCTCCCCTAAGAAAATAGTTTCCGAGCGACGGAGAAACAAAGATTAGGAAGTCACAACCCAGACCGTAGTGTTCACGTCACCCTGAAGGACAAGGTGTCTGAGTTCTCCCCGCTGTTGTTTCGTCTAATTCCAGCGCCGTTAGTTTGATAATATCTATTTCTGCAGATGTTTCTTGTAAGTGTTATAATTAGAGAAATCTCCTGGGTTTCTCTGCTTTGAAAATAGATTGATTTCCCTTGCTGAGGGGGAAGTTTTACAGCAGTCTGGATGCTTGGGGGAGAGAGCCTTCTCATTTTCCTGGCGTTTGACGTGGGCTTGTTTTTTCTCTCAGAAATCTCCATGCTGTTCCTCTTTTCCGTTCTGTGGGAGCCACACGTTCGTTTATACCTGTCTATATATACCCATGCAGCCAGAGAAGAATGCAGCTTGAAAGATGTATAATTAATATATAACTTTAAAATATGCACAAATGCACTCAAGTACATGTATTCTGCTCTTCTGTGTGCCAAGCACCAGCTATATAGTACATATCATTTTTTTTTTGTTTTTAAATATATTTTTATTGATTTTTTTTTTTTTTTTTTTTTTTTTTTTTTTTTTTACAGAGAGGAAGGGAGAGAGATAGAGAGCTAGAAACATCGATGAGAGAGAAACATCGACCAGCTGCCTCTTACACACCCCCTACTGGGAATGTGCACACAACCAAGGTACATGCCCTTGACCGGAATCGAACCCGGGACCTTTCAGTCTGCAGACCGATGCTCTACCACTGAGCCAAACCGGTTTCGGCCATATCATTTTTTTTATTAACAGGATTATTTGGGTATAATTTGGTTCCGTGTTCTTTCTTTTAAACATATTTTTATTGATTTCCGAGAGGAAGGGAGAGGGAGAGAGAGAGAGAAACATCAGTGATGTGAGAGAATCATTGATCAGCTGCATCCTGCATGCCTCCCACTGGGGATCCAGCCCACAACCTGGGTATGTGCCCTGACCCAGGGAATTGAACCATGATCTCCTGGTTCATAGGCTGATGCTCAACCACTGAGCCACACCAACTGGGCAGTACACATCCATTTCGATGTAAGAGTCTCTTCTAGGAATGACATTTAGGTGGTACCTATGCACTTCCCTTTCTGTGTCCACAGCAGAAATCACTGATTGGCTGTGGCTGTTTTTCCGGCCCAATCACGGAATCCTTCCAAATACCACCATTGACTTCTAGGCCTCAGTACATGAAAATGAACCTGTTCTCCACCTCTTGTCTGTTGGGAAGGGTTTTCATAACCAGTGCCTTCACACATGAGACTGAGATTTGATCATTCAACAAATATGCATTGAGTGCCTTTTCTATTTGCGAGAGGGGAATTGCTGTCATCCTGCCAGGCACCAACCTTTTAAAAACCTCTTTCCTAAGACCAAAAAGCCCAGTCCTTTGGCAGGGACTTGGAACTTGAACAGGTGGGCCAGCCTCGGGGGTTTGCCAAAGGTTCTTGGGAGCTGAACTGGGAAAATGCGACTAAACATTTCGAGGCATTTTTCCATGATTGGCTTTTCTGACAGAGGTTTTTCTTTTTCTCCCAATCCTGCTTTAGAATGCTCTCGAGAGACGGAAAAACACAAAAGGCCAGGGCAGATCCAACAGCAGTGCTCTGACGGGCGTCCTCTCTGCAAAGCAAGGTAGGTCTTATTCTCAATGGGGAACCCTTCGGACCCCAGAATGCTAGAGCTGTCAATCACATCTCGTTTTGTAGACTGGGAACCTAGCTGGCTTTTAGAAACTTCCGCCTGCAACAGAATTCCCTGGCGGGCTCCTTAGAACACACATTACTGGGTTTCTGATTTAATAGGTCTGGAGTAGGCCTGGGAATCTGCATTTATGAAAAGCCCCCAGGTGAGGCTGATGCTTTAAGAACCTCCGCGTTAGAGGTTTTTCCTAATAATTGGCCTCTTCTGTGTCATTTCCCCGGCCCTGTGCTCTTCTTTCAACAACGTTGTCCCTTCTCTGATCACCAGCTTAGCATCTCCAAGTACATGTTGCAACCTCATTGAATTTCCCTTTTTCCTGGCCTCTTTGAATAGAAGCCTTGGAGCTGCCGGAATCATTTTATCATGGAGCATGTGCCTTTTTCAAGGAATCTTGTATTGATTGCAATTTTGTTCCTCCTCCCTGTCGATTCCGATGAAAAATAATGGTCTTCCAGGAACCGGCCAGGGGAACAAATAGCAGAGATCTCGCTTCTGACACTTACAGTCTGGAAACTCAGTTTTAATCGTAAGCCTCGGGTTGAACATGTGCTACTGGACCACATTTGGGTCATTGGCAGTGCAAACAGTAACAGTCAGATGGCAGTCTTAATCAGAGTGAGGGTGGCGTAGAAGAAAAATGCTGACTCTCCAGCTTAGCTAACACCCAAGGCACTTTTCCAAGCAACTTTTTTCTTTGTTCTACTAGAAAAGGACACCCTAGATTTTTTTTATATAGATTTTTAAAACCTATTTTTCTTTATTTCAGAGAGGAAGGGAGAAGGAGAGAGAGATAGAAACATCAGTGATGAGAGAGAACCATTGATTGGCTGCCTCCTGCACGCCACCTACTTAGGACCGAGCCCGCAACCTGGGCATGTGCCCTTGACTGGAATCGAACCTGAGATCCTTCAGTCCGCATGCCAATGCTCTATCCTCTGAGCCAAACCAGCTAGGGCTAGATATTTATTTTTTTAAGAAAACTACAATACTCTATAGAAATGTGGAATAGTCCATTTACATTTAGCTTTGGATACTCTTCACAGCATAGTGTTTGAGTGCCGAGATCAGTCTTACCACTGCTTTGGGGCATGTCAGCCACACTCAATCATCACCGCCAAGCAGCAAATCTGAGCAACCTTTGCAAATAAGTGTTAGGCAACCTATTATGAGATGCCTTAAACTAGAGAACTATGCAGACATTTTGCTTTAAGAAAGTTCTTCCTACGTTAGTTATAATAAAAAACATTGGAAACAACATTTATTTATTATAGATCTGTATATGAACTACTAAGTTAAAGGAGATACTCAGGATAAGATATCAAGTTAAGTGAAAAGAGCAGAGCTTTTTGCCCATTTTTGAAGAAAAATCTACGAATTAGTATATGTATATATAGGCATATAGCAATGTTGTTCAAAATCATATAGTAAACCCATAGACACAGACAGTGGGATAGTGAAGGCTTTAGGGTCAGGGAAGAGGTTAATGAGGGGGAAAGGAGGACCCATGTGATCCTTTCAACAATGAAGATTAAAAAACAACAATAGTCATATTAATTTAATAAATCATATTATTTTAATTAAGTTAACATGGAGCCTCTTAACAAATAATCATATTAATTTTACGTTTTATATGTAAATTTAGTTTTCAGTTGGCTAAAATAATTAAACTATGCTAATATGTGAAAAAATACACACAAAAACATAAAGTGATATAGACTATTTTTCTGTCTGGTGGGAGTACAAGTAGTCATTGACTTTTTATGTAAACCCTTCATCTATCTATCCATTCTAAAACTGTGCATATACAGAATATATTTTGTAGTTTAACTAGCCTCCCACATTATCTTGCGACTAAAGGACTAAAGGTACACACCCTGGGAAACTCTGACGTACAGGAAGGCGGTCAGGACTAGAGGCATTGTCATTAGCGTGGCTGCGTGGCCTTCAGCCAATGTTTTGAATCCATCTGCACTTTGCTTTCCTGTCCATGAAATGAGGACAAATGCTGCTTTCCAGGTGGATTTTTTTTATTGTTGTTCATTTTAATTCTCAAATAAGTTAGTCAATAGGAATGTATCTTTGAAATTTTAAAATACTGGACAAGTGCAGCAGATGGTTCTCCTTTTAAAAGCTGTTGCTAGGAATCTATGAGGACTTCCGCCTTCCTGTTTAACCCACACGCTGAATTTCATTCTGTTGTACTTTTGAACCGCAAAGTGGACTCTTCAATGCATCCCAGCAGCAAGCAGAGGCAATCAAGCAAGTTGTCAGTGTCCAGGAGGAGCTGACATTGGTCTGCACTCCAGGGTTCCAGGTGACCTTAAGTCTGAGTTGTCCCTGTCCTGTCCCACCTAGTCCAGGATCTGCTATCGGAGGACCACGGGTGCAGTCTGCCAGCGACACCGCAGTCCATTTCTGATCTGAAATCTCTGGCGACGGCCCTGCTAGAAACGATCCATGAGAAAAACATGGTCATCCAACACCAGAGGCAGACCAACAAGTAGGTGGCTGGGCCGTCGCGTGGGGATCGGCAGGAGAGATGTGAGGTGATGGCAACAGGTGGGACCACATAACTTAAGGGGAGTGGGTGAGAACTCTTCAATCTGGAAGGAATCTCCTTAAACTGGAACTATGCCTCTGCTGAAGTCAAGCAAGCACATAATACTGGCCACTGCTTATTGAATACTTATCCTGACCTACCCCTGAGCACTGCATATTAAATTATGTTTTTGGTAGTACACTCGCCCAGGTAACTCAGCCTACCTGTCCACCAGGTCTCCTTTACGGGAGATAACTCCTGGGAGCCATTTTTACCTTTGAGGGGCTTTGAATGGCAGGAACAGCCAAGCATTCTCTCAAAGGCAGATGTGGCTACAAAGGAGTCACACGTTAGGATCAGCAAACAATATAGCAAGAAAGAGTGACAATTAAAACAGAATGTTTTCTTTGGTTATTATAAACATACTGACTGTGCTGGGCAAAATCAAGCAAGTTGAAGTAGCCATTAGAGATGACAGAAACAAAACTGAAAGTGTTCAGAGAACAGTGAATAAACAGTAAATTAAAGCAGCAAGCACTGCAAACCCCGCCCCGTGCTTGTCAGCACTCGTGCTCAGGAGGGCCCTGCACGGGGTCTGTCGATCCTGTCTCCATGTTGAAATTCTTAATTATTGTTCAGCAAGGGGGCTCCCCATTTTCATTTTGCACTGGGCCCTGCCAATTATGTAGCTGGACCTGCTTATAAGACCTACACCCAGAGGCCAAATGAAGGGGTGAAGGAAGAGAGCAGCAATGAAAAGCTGGGCTTCCAGCAAGAAGGGAAGGGACAGGGGAGGGAGTCAGGCCCTGGAAAATGATTGAGAGTATTGTAAAAACAAAACAGAGAAAAAGAGGAGATGGAAAGGAAGGGAAGATCGCACAGGAGATTAAGATATATATAAAAGAAGGCAGAGAGCAGTGGAGGGAGTCTGGGCAATCTCAAAGAATGACAAGGGTAATTTATTGACAAAAGTCATTTCAAAGATTCTTTTTAAAGAAATCTTAACCAAGGAGTGAAACAGCTAGAGGCTGAAATGCAGATAATTCTAAGGGGAGGGAGAAGGAATGGGAATATCCTAGAACAGGCACGAATCCTCTTTTCTCAGGCAGAACCCTGCAGAGTTCCACATTGCTGTTGACCTGACACTCCGCCTCTCTTACAGGTTGATTTCCTAATGCGTCCCTATGGATTCCCTATGGGTTGCCATCTCTTTTGAGAAAGACTAACGTTTGCATTTTGTACCTCTTCATTTTTAACTATTTCATTTTTTTTGAACCATTTCGTGGTTCACATGTAAAAGTTTAAACAGCCCAGCCAGTGTTACTCAGTGGTTGAATATTGAACCAGGAGGTCACTGTTTGATTCTCAGTCAGGCACACGGCTAGGTTGTGGGCTTGATCCCCAGTAGGGGGTGTGCAGGAGGCAGCCCATCAATGATTCTCTCTCATCATTGATCTTTCTGTCTCTCTTGAAATCAATAAAAAAAATATATATATATATATATATATATATATATATATATTTTTTTTAAAGAATAAAAGGTTAAACAACAATACACAGCAGGTCCTTGTATAACATCAATTCATTCGGTGTTATTTCAGTATAATGTTGCTGTGTTGAAAAGGCACGTAACTCTTGTTTATATCAATCAGCCTATGATAAAACTGGTTTTCTTATACGTCACTTTGCTTAAAGTCAAAGACTTAAAGACTCTATTGAGGACGTTAAGTTAGGACTTACTGTATCTCCAAACTACTATTGTCTCTTAGCGACCTAGTTCCCCTTCCTGGAAGAAACCTCCATTCCTCATTTCTTAGGATCCTTCCCAAGCATGCATATATAAGCAAGTGCAGAATACATTTATATAGATATACAAAAAAGCTCATGTGTATTTGTCTAGGTATTCTCTCTCATTTTTTAATAAATAGTAGCTAGTATATGTATTTTTAAAGTTTTTCACTGTTCTGCACTTTGCCCATAACAATAGATCTTGAAGATTGCTTCACATCAGTACATAGAGTACCTAATGTGCCATTTTTTAACACTAAGAAGGTCTTAAACTTCATGCTTTTGATAAATGTTTTATTTGGGAGCATGTAAAAAAACCACACTAAACAACAAATGCAGTGTGGGCTAAGAATAGAATGTGAATTTTGTCTCCTTGCTGTTATTCCCCATAATTTAGGGTTTTGTAACTAAAGTAACAAGATAGCTTTGTTTTGGGGGAGCATTATATGAATGAATAAAGATACCCTGTCCAGGAAGTGTCTTCCCCAATGACTGACGGTTATCGCCCACCCCTTGAGAAAGTGCAGTGGGTACCATCTTGAAGAATTGATAACAAAACCAGGACTTTACATTTTGAGAGGACGTCCAATTACTAGGCATTTTGCTTGAGGTGTTTGTTGCCAAAGAGTTGGCAGTTGTCTGATTGCTACAGAAGAGATGAGGTTTACTTGTCTTATAGACAGACAGCAAAGCATTAATAGAAGAGGCAGATGTTAGAGTACTGTTCCATGGAACACCACTGTTAGTTCTCCAGGCCTTCTCAACAAGCCATCACTTTGCCAGTGTGGGGTGGTGGGATGGGGGTGGTGGTGAATTTATGAAGACACACTGGCCTTTCACTACCCTTCCTGCTGTGCCTAAAACTGTTCACTGCTCTTCTCCTTCGCTGGCCAATGGTAAATACCGTGTTTGCCTGAAAATAAGACATCCTTCGAAAATAAGACCTAGCACATGGAAAGATAAGACATCCCTTGAAAATAAGACCTCGTGCAACTTTGGGAGAAAAAATTAATATAAGACACTGTCTTATTTTCGGGGAAACAGGGTAGCTTAGACATTCAGGATCTTTGTAGCAGCATGAGCTATCATGGATCAGAGCAAAGATTCAAAAGGTTGCCTGGGTGGAGCTGGGGGGCAGGGTCATCTCCATGTCTGAGGAGAGCCACCGCCCCTTGCTGGCTGCTTCAGGTCCCAACTCTCCCCAAGGACCCTCACACAGGGATCTCTCTTCCCTGTGTTGTCCAGAAAGCAAGGAGAGAGGCACAGTGGTGGCAAGTTCTTGAGTTAGTTCCGTCTTTGTAGATCTCCTCTGATGTTGTTATTATCAGAAACTGCTACTGAAAATGCAGAGTCTTGACATCTTGAGGATTTTTCTAGACACGTGGTTGGCCAACTGCGGCTCTTGAGCCACATTTGGCTCTTTGGCCCCTTGAGTGTGGCTCTTCCACAAAATACCATGGCCTGGGCTAGTCTATTTTGAAGAAGTAGTGTTAGAAGAAGTTTAAGTTTAAAAAAATTTGGCTCTCAAAAGAAATTTCAATCGTTGTACTGTTGATATTTGGCTCTGTTGACTAATGAGTTTTCAGACCACTGACCTAGACTATTATGTGGGCATATGCAGAAATCTCCCCATCTTAAAACAAACTGTAGCTAATTATACATTTTGTTTAAAATTTCCCCTATCTTACAAAAAATAAAATAAAATAAAAAAATCTTCTCTCCAGCCTGTTTAGCCTTGAGCTACTGCCCTGGCTGTCTTCTATCCTCTGCTCAACTCCTTGGAGAGTCATCTAAAGTCACTGCCTCAATGTTTTCATAGTCTGCTCTTGTCTCAAGCCTGTCACTTGGGTTCTGAATTTCATTGCCTCCACTGAAACATCTCTCTAGGTCCGGCACACTCTCTAAGTGACCTCCTCTAAACTTTCACTTAGAAGTATGACCACTTCTAGAATAAGACAACACTCATCACACCATCACACCTGGAACTCTCTTCCCTTGGCTTCTGAGGCCCCACATTGCCCTAGCTGTCCTCTGTCTCCACATGTGCTTCTCTGGTCCTTTCTTGCCTTACGCAGGAGACGGTCTAGTCCCCTGTTCTTCTGAATTCTCCCATGCTGTTGGTGAGCAGATCCATTCCCCCAGGCTACACTCTCATCTCTGCACTCCCAGATCTTGCCTCTCTCCCACAAGTCCAGATGGAGATGCTGTAGCTGCCTCACACTCCTCAGCTGCCTCCTGCTTGTTGCCTCATTCCTTTGGCTTCCCTGCATCCCCATTGGCTTGTTTCAGGCCACCATCGTCACCGACCTGGACAACAACTTTCTAACTGGGTTTTTTCCAGTCCCTTCTCAAAGCTGCATCAAGAATACTTTTCCTAAACCTCATTATGCTACTTCTATGCTTAATACCCTTCAATATCTCCCCGGTGTATAAGTCTTAACATTGTCAATATGGCAACAAGATAATTAAATCTTGGTCCCTACAAGCCTCTCTGGATTCATCTTTCATTCACTCTTCGCTTCTGCTGTACAGTTCTACTGAAGGACTTGTGCATTTCCAGGCCCCTTCACTTAACAGCTGTGTCACCCCGGCATATTAGTTGACCTCCTGGATCTTAGTTCCCACATCTACAAAATTAGGATAGTAAGTGCTGCCTCATTGGTTGTGGCAAGGGATTGAGATAATTACTGTGCAGTGCTTAGGGTAATATCTGGTACAGAACACGTGATTGATAAATATCAACTGTTATTAAAGCTTTCCACTGGCACTGCACGTGCCTGCTCACATCTGTGTGTCTGTCTCCCACCAGGCTCTTAGTCCCTCAAATACAAGGATAGGGTCTGCTTCTCTTCATTAGCCCCTATGGCCTCAGTAATCATTTGTTGACTTGGTCAAACTGAATCAAATGGACCCTGCTCTTACTTCCACCATCTCTGTCTATAAATACAGCCAGCTATTAAGACCCAAATAGCCCTTTTCTCTTCCTGGGCTGCATCATGCCGTTCAGTAGACCACCTGCCATATTCTTTCAGTGTCAAGCCAATCAGGAGGTCCCTCTTTGTCATTTGAAGCATCTTGGGTTTATATTTGGCAAGTCAGCTGTGGTTACATCCATATTTCATTATAAACAGTTTTAATGAGAATTTGCTCCAGACATAAGAAATCTTGTTTCCCATTGCCATTACTGGGTATTGGTTAACAGTATGCACTTCAGAGGCAAACTGAGGCTTAAGTTTGTGAACCTGAAGAACTAAAAGAGCTCCTGGAGGCTAACTAGGCTCAAATTATAAAAAAACAAAAACAAAAATCAAAACAAAACAAAAAAAAAACACAGGAATCTAGTAGCCATTTTTTGCACTGGGGCCTCCCACAAAAGCTGCACTTCGGAGAGAAGCCTCTGCATTAAAATGTCTGCCTCTGCACTCAACTGTCTTTCTGCCTACACTGTGTTCCTACCATCTGAGCCAGACCTTATAAAGGAGTTCCTGGCGGCCCATGTCAAAGGACTGAGGCTTTCCCCAGCCAATCGGAGCTGCACAACTCTGACCAATCAGAGCAGCTCTATTCTGACCAATCAGGACAGTGCTTTTGGACCAATCAAACCAAGGATTGATTTAGCATCCTCATTTGCATGACAATGAACTAATCAGGGACCAGAAACCAGAGGTGGGGACTTCTGTCTATATAAAATTAGCATTGTATTAGGGAGCACACTTTTCAGGGAAGACTACAGAAACCCATTTCCGTGATTGGAGCAGAGCTGCAGAGCTGAAGAGGCTCCAGGACGTGGGGCAGCCTCAGAGCTCTGCTCTATTGCTCTTGAGCTGTTTGCACTAAATAAACTTTCCTTCTTCACCCCAAATTGGGGTTCCTCTTATCTTTGGAATTGGTGCCAATGACCATGGGTTGACAGGTTCAAATCCAGACTCATCACCAGTTGTTTGGTTTTGGTCAAGTTAACTAACTTCTAATGCCTCTGTTTTCTAGTGGGTGGAGTAGAGTATGGTGGGTAAGAGCACTGAGTGTTATGAAAAGACAGATTTTTTAGATGAACTTTGCATCCTTAGGCAAGTTGGTTACCTCTCTGTTCCTTAGGGACCACATGTATAAAATAAGAATAAAACAAACAAACAAATAAACAAACAAAAAACACAATGTGCATTGCAGGGGTTTTGTCAGGTCTGATAAGACAATGCAAGTCTGGTAGGTGTTCAACATGGATCCCAATTCATGTCCAGAACTCGGGAAAGGTTAGTTTTGCTGTTTGTGTTAACAGTATTGCAGTTGCTATTGCTATTGACACTGTCACTACTACCACAACTCCCACTGGGTCCATTTTACTGCCTGCAGCCCTGCATCAGATGCCAGTGCCAGGCCATAAAAGCAGTCACCACTGACAAACTTAGGAAGTAGATTGTTGGGGACACCAGCAAATTCACCTCACTCCATTTCTGGGAGACATGGCTATTCTCTAGGAACATCAGAAAAAATACAGCCAAATGTCTCTCCACCACGCCTTCCAACGTTGCCCTGTAGGCCTCCCTCAGTGTCCAGGGAAGAGTTAAGCCTTATTGTTTGTTTCCAAGAGGAAGCCACATACAGATGATCTGATCTCGTTAAGAAACAGGCGTCAACTTGAACACGGCTGAGATTGCATCTCAAACCCATCAGCTGGTGAAAAGGGAGCTTGGATCACAAGGCCTGAGCAAAATATTGAAAATGAGATTACCAAGAATGGTGTTTATTGAAGGGTCAGAGTCATGAAAGCAGAATAAACCCAACAATTGGAGTGAAAATAGAAAGTAATTGATCAAGACTATGCAGAATTTAAGACTTAAGAAAAAGAGGCAAAGAAAAGCTCTAAGTACCCAGATGAAGAAAAACCACACATAGGAATATCAAAGAGTTTTTCATGAACTCAGGGGGAATATTAATTAAGATGCTGTAAGTTGATTTAGATAAAATAAGGATGAATTCAAAGCCATATATATGTGCAGATATATACATATTCATGTCTCTGTATATGTGGGTGTGCGCAGCTATCTCTGGAATATAAAGAGCTGGGAGAACAATTCTGCTGTTCTGAATTCTCCTGTTGAAAAGAACTGAAACTTTGCTATTAAGGGACATTTCTGCATAATTTTAGCACAGCAGTGCCATGAATATTCTCCAATAAAGACTTTTTTCAATTTCCAGACCAATGGGAAGTGACTGAAGTTTTAGATGACTATCTAATTATTTCCCAACATATTTAATTTTGTGTAAAGGAGGGGAAATATATGCCCACATTTATGTCTTTCCATGCATATATATACAAAGTTTGACTTCCGGGTAAGTAGTGTAGTCTAATTCAAATACTCATTCCAGAATTCACATATCAGTGAGTCAGAATGGTCACCTTGGGAAGCAATATCATGATTCTAGTGATTTTTGCAATCACTGAGAGTTCTTTAGAAATGTTTATATCTTTAAACTAGAAGTCCCTCAGCCCAGCCTGCACCCTCGCTTAGTCCGGGAGCCGGGGGGGGGGGGGGGGGGGGGGGGGGGAGGGAGGGGAGAGGGGGAGGGAGAGGGAGAGGAGAAAGAGTGGGTTGGGGAGGTTGGTGTTCCACTGATGGCTGATGCCCATTCTTTAGTGCTGCCTCGCTGTCTCGGAGGCAGTAGAGGCTCCTGCCACCACCACTGCAGTCGCCATCCGTGAGCCCAAGGCCAGCTGTGAGCCTGGCTTCTGGCTCAGTGGCTCTTCCCCTGTGGGAGCACGCTGACTACCAGGGGCCAGCTCCTGTACTGAGCATCTGCCTCCTGGTGGTCAATGTGCATCCTAGTGACAGGTCGTTCCGCATATTAGTCAATTTGCATATTAGCCTTTTATTATATAGGATTCTCTACATTGATAATTACAAGTCATGAGAAAAGCATTTATTTAATCAAATACATTTTTGAGCATCTACCAGGCATTATGCTAGATAGCAAGTCATCAGTCCAACATAGGTTAGTTCTAAAAGGGCAGATATTATTATTTTATTGACTCAAAGCAACATTACCAAGTATATTCATGCATGGTATTTGTTAGACTTGATTGTTTCCAAAACTCAGATCTACCTTCAAAGATTCAAGGTATGATACTACTAAGGGTATTCAAAATAAGTAGTCATTTTTAGCAATGAGCAATTCCTAAATAGAAATTCTGTAAGATGTTTGGGCAATGGCTGGATAATTGTTTAGCTTCTCAGAGAAACTACCTTTTTGGGAGAGGAATCACTTCAATGGCAACATTTTAATATTTTAAAAAATTATGCACTTTATATGTTATTTCAATAGAGGTGCATGTGTGTGCGTGTGTGTATGTGTGTGTATTCCATTTTTTAGCATGTATGTTTAATCTCAAAATATTTTTTATTAGTGTACTAGTGAGTTTCCCAAGTAGCCTGCTCATAAGCTTGTGAGCTGATGAGATGCCTACTAATCTGTCTGCTGCAATATTCTCCCATTTTCCAGAATCCTAGGGAATCGGGTGGCTGAACTGGAGAAAAAATTAAGAACTCTGGAAGTTTCTGGTTTGTGGAGTCTTCCAGGTAAGCAGTACATTATAAAACTTGTTTTTCTTTTCTTTTCTTTCTTTTTTTTTAAAAAAAAGGAAGTGCTCTCATAATTTGCAAAGAAGATTCTACCTTTTCAATGTCCTTGTATTCTAAGATAAGTGCTGAGAAATCTACAAGCGCTTGAAACTTAGAAACCATCATTTTGGAGGGAAATCAGTAAAGTACAATGCATATGCAGGTTCTCATCTACATAACTATGAAGTTTCGCTAACATAAATCTGAAACAGTCTCTCCATGTGGCTATACGTTTTTTGTAAACTTTGTGAATAGAGTAAATTGCTTCATTTTTGTCACCATAGGTGTCTTATAAAGATTTGTTCAATTTAATCATAAACCCTAAAAGTGAAAATAAGAAAAAAACAAATATTCTAACCCTCATGCACTTTACCAACCTCCTTATCCTCTCTTCGCCCATCCCATTTTTAACGTAGCTTGAAGATCAAAATTTCCTGTGGGGATTTTTTTTTCGAAGTTGTACACAGTATTAACTGTCTGTATTTATTCTGCTTGTCTTGGTAGCAAAACCCCTTCATTGGCCTCAGTCAGCTCTTCCCCCTTTTCCTTTATACATCCCAGAAACTTGTACTTACCATTTTCCATCGCCTCCTCTGTCCCTAGAAGCCACGTTGTACATATATTTTTAGTTACTTAACCTTTCTACACAAGCTAGTTTCCTCTACCCTTGATTCCTATCTGTTGCTTCCCTATAACGTCCGGGGAATGAACATTGCCACAGGGATACGAACAACAGCATGTTTGTTAATGTAAATCTGAATTGCTGCCTTAGGTCGCCTGGAAGTGTGTTTCATAAATTGGAATTTTGAGCAGCGATTCCTTGAACTTGATGTCAAAAGACCTAACAAAACTAATTAGTGGCGAGTGCCATCCTGGGGATTTGAATGATCCATTTTGCACAAGAACCTTTTGAAGCGGTTAAAACCTTATCTTCTTTGAAGGCCCTTTCTTTTATTGCATTGAATTTCAACACAGCCGGGCACATTTGTCGTTTATTTGTGCAGTCAGATTGCTATTTCTGTGCTTGTACTCAAGTTTGGATTTCCCACCCCCTCTTCAAATGACTTAGTGAAATTTCACAATGTTTTATTTCTACAACTTATGTAAAAAGCTGTGAGTTGAATAACAATGAATGCTGAGGATTTTTCTCTTTCTGGTGATGTTTGGTCTAGGTTCGAATGGCTATTGTGTGATAACAATTGTCTCTTTCCTTCCTTTTGCTGCCTAAAGGCCTGAGCTACAACGTTTCAGTAGGATTTGGGAGTACGTTCCATTCGACATTTCTGTGTTTGTGGCTAATATCATTAGTGCATAAGTATCTGCCCCGCATGTAAATAAATAGAAATGCATTCTCTATGTATGCTTGCACTTCCCTGATTAGCACAGTCCATTGAAATGGAGAATTTAATTAACACAAAGCAAATATTAAATGGTGAAATTAGCTTTGAGGAACCCCGCTGAATGGATTTTATGCTATGGCCATGTTAGTTCTCATCTCTGGCTTCCACATAGATACAAAGTGGGAGGGCGGGGAAAAGAATGGCCATTTCCCAGTGGAACAGCATGGCCCTGGCACAGCGATGAAGGATGTTACAAGGAAGCAGCACCTTATGATCCTTCTCAAAGCCGTGTGAGAGTAAGGGGTGGGCCTTTTCCAGCATAAATCAGACCAGTCCCTCTGCCTGCTCATTGTGTTATGGCACCATTGGTTTATGACTCTAATTATGAAACAAAAAGCAGTATGTTCTTTCTCCCTCCTCTTCCTTCTCCTCCTGGTCATTCTCTTCTTTTTTCCTACCTTTTCATCCTTCCTCTTCCTTCTCCTCTTCTTTCTCTTCCTCTTTCTTTCCCCAAGTGGGAGCCAAATCATGATGTTTCAGCCAGAAGGAGGGAACTGAGTCTCAATGGTTTCAGAGAGTTGCTAGCTCTCTTATTCACCATTGTCTTGAAATTATCAGGGTTTCCTCCAGTAAATCAGCCCTTCAATCTGTTGATACCTTTTTGGGCATCAATTTGTGAGTTTAGTTCTGTACCAGCCATTCTAGAGATGCCCCTCACCTGCTCCAAGAACCCACAGTCCCATTACAGATGCAAGAGGGATGTACATCAAGAAGTGAGAAGAAAGAGGGAAATGGCATATAATTCAGTGCTTTAGGTAAAGATGTTGGTGTATGAGGTGTCACTGAATACTAGCCCTGGAAGGACAGTGGAGAGCAAAATGTTCAAAGATGACCAATACTAAGATACATGGTGTATATACACCACACCCATTCCCATGGTAGTGGCAGACATTGCTAATCAATATCATTGCTCTTCTTTGATGATCTCACGTGTGGCCCTCAGAACAGCCTTCCACTGTTGGTTTTCCAGGAAGCCACCTTTGGTCAGAGTTGACATGTGAGAAAAAACATTTTCCTCTTTCCTGTGCTAGTCTAATCCCCTCATTTTAGGTAAGGAAGGTTTCTTAAGGAACACAGAAAGTTAGATGATACATGAGACCACAGTAGCCGGTGTTAGAACCCAGGTGTTCAGCTCATCATTTCATATGCCACCTGTCCTAGGAAATACAATTCAGAGAAGAGACCATGGGTAGTTCAGATGAGGAATGGTTCACAAAGCAAGTTGGATTGGAGAAGAGAAAGTCAAAAGTCAGGACAGTCTCTTTTGAGACACCAAAGACAAGCGGTGAAAGAGCCAACCACTTGTTGCTACAAGGCAGAATTACTGTAGGGCATGGAACATGCTGTGATGTTTCTTTGACTCTCTTCTCCTTCCTTCTCCACTCTCTCAGTCAACCGTATGTAGCTCTTGATGTTAGAGTGAGGGCAAACTTGTGATCTTGCTTTGAAGTAGACAAGTCTGACAAATGTCACAGCCTGTGGAGGAGTCATCTGGATAGCAAAGCATATTCCACACTGTGTATCCCATCTCTGAGATGTGGAAAAGGTATGGGTTATTGTGAGGAAGCCAGAGTGTGGGTTGGCCCTATTGACTACACCCCTCCAGAAGGAATGACCATCTGCCCTCCCAGCCCCTTCCTGGAAGCCTCATTCTCCCAGCTCTGTGCTGGCCTCTGTGTGGAGAATGGTGCTTGGGGAGCTCAGAAAGGAGGTGCCCTGTGTGTGTTAATACTCTAGAAAGAGACACGATAAGCCAGAACAAATATGGCAAGAATTGAGCCTGGCTCTTGGAGTTTTTCATTTAATTCTTTCTTCTCCACGTTAAGCATCAGCTTAACGTGGAGAAGTTCTTGGTCAATTTTAGAGAAGGAGATGAGGGATGTTGTGTTAGAAGGAATCAGGGAGGCTTCCAGAAGTCCAAACGCCAGTTCAATGGAACCTTCTCCAGTAGTTGTGGTTTGACTCTAGTTGGTGGGTTCCTTGCCCACTCCTCATCCTTCAGTCCTACAAACCAAAGGGAAACTGCAACAGCAGGCCATCAGATTAGAGCTCACTGTAGTTAATATAGATGGAATCTGGACTGAGTTAGGAACCACAGAACCAGATTCTCCTAAGAAAGATCTTTGAATCTGTCTTCACTGCTGTGGCAGCATCATTTTCTGTCCACACCTTTTGTGTCTGTGTTCAAGGTGCTCACTTTCAAAGTCAGACTTCCTTGCTCCTCCCTCCATAGCTAACCTTGAGAATAGAGTTGTGATGGTTTCCCTTTCCTCCTCCTCTCTGCTTCAAATTTTCTCTGTCCACTTAGGGAGTTCATACAAATCGATCCAAGGTTGCAGCTGGTCTGGGACTATATGTTCTAAGTGAAAGTTTACTAGTGGCTATGGTAATTTGAAGAACCTGATACTGCCTGACTTATGACAGAGTTATTTTTCAATCTTAATGACCAAATCAAATTAAATCAGATAGAGTGTCTATGACAGTGCTATGGAAGTGCCTTCTAAAGTAATAATTTGAATAGGTGGCATTTACCCAGTGCTGACTGAATGCCTACGAGCTTGATGTGAATTACAATAATTCATCAAAACCACCTAGTGAGGTGGGTGCTATTATTTGCCCTTATTTAACAGATGAGGGTTCTGTGGCTCAAAGAACAGAAGTTGCACAGCTAGCAAGTGATATAGTCCAGATCACAAATACTGTAGGGCGGTTCCAAAGCAAGGTGATGCTGTTGTTATTGTTATTAACTCACTCTGATCAGTGTCACTCAGTTTTCAGCTAACATATAGGTGTTTGTGGGCATCTATGCCCTGAGCAGACTCTCAGGACTCATAGACAGCTATTCCTTGTCCTCACATGAGAGAAAGCACCTGCTCTCCATTGCCCTTCCCAGTGTTACCTATGACTGAAGAAGGTGCCTTATTAAAGGCCAGTCCACCATAGGGGCAGGGTTGAAAGCAGCAGCAACTCCATTGAGGACTAATATGTCCATTTTCCCCTTCTCCACGACAGGGGGAAAGGACACCATAATGTTCAGTGACGCCACTCTCCCCACCACTCAGAGGTCCAGGTCCCCACTGCTGAAGTTCGCCGAGAAGCACCCTGAGGACCAAGTGAACCCCAAGGACGGTAAGCACACCTCGACTTCTTGGTCCTTGCTTGGCCTGTGTCTGGGACAGAAGAGAGCTCAGTGGACCTCAGTCCCGTCCATCTTTGTGGCACTGCTGGGTCATTTCTTATGTTTCTTTCTTATCCTTTCTTGTTACTCCCATGGGTTCATCTTGTTTGGAGTTTCCAGCCAAAAAAAAAATGCAGGCTCTGCACTCTCTGGATGGTGGCACAGAGGGTAAGAGTGAGGGCTCAGTGTGTTGAACAGCTTGGATTTCTATTCCAGTCTCACGTTGTATTGGCTGTGGGCTAGTAAGTTCAGCCTCAGTCTTCCTACATATAAGTGCCAACCTCAGGGAAATCTTGGCACATTGCCTGGCACATGGTAGGTGACCTGGGAATCAGTTGCATGGAGAAAAAATTGTATCTACCTCCAGGCACACTTTCTGGAGGCAGGGTGTTCTGAAGGGGACCATTTAGGGTGCCAGAGGAATCAGCAGGTATGAGGGTAGATCTCTTCCCATGTGGCAGCCTTGTTTCTGTCCTTCACATCAACTATCCTTCACAGCTTTCTAAGTTTGGCCTGTCTTCTTCCTCCATTTCCAGTGTGGTTGCCAGCTTCCAAAATGGCCCCGCTTGATCTGCTGGTATTTATGACCTACGGTGGTCCTCTCTTGCACTGTGTCAGGTTTGAACTGTATTGTACAGAATACAGTAGAAGTGATAGTATGTAACTCCCCAGGCTAGGTCATAAAAGACATTTAGTGTTTGCCTTGCTCTCTCTCTCTGTTTGGATTATTCACTCTGGAGAAAGCTGGCTGCTATGTCAGGAGGGTACTCAAGCAGCCCTTTATGCTAGTCACGTGGTGTGGAGCTGAAGCCACCAGCATCAGCCATGTGAGAAGCCACCCTGGAGGCAGTTTCTCCAGGCCTCGTCAAGCCTTCAGATGACAACATTTGGCATTCAACCCTATTAAAAGCCATTAGCTAGAACCACCCAGATAAACTTCTCCCAGGCTCCTGAGACTTAAGCTGCTAAGTTTTGAAGTAATTTGTTACACAGCAGTACCTGACTAATACACCTTGCATGCGGTGTCAAGATCCTTTCATGAACATCTACATTTCCTCTCTATCTTCTCTTGCTCAGAACCATGCCTTTGGCCATCACCTCTATGAAAATACTCTCAAAATTGTCCCCACACCCAGGTCCCTTTACAGAGTTACAGTCCCACGTTTCCCAAAGCTCAATCTTTCCCACCGAAATACTCCCTGGACTCCTCAAGTTTGACACCCCCAACTCTTCCTGCCTCCTCCCTTTGTTGTTTCCCTCTCAGCAGCTCTCCAGGCTTGAAACCTTAGAGCCATCATTGACCACTGTCAACTTTCCTTCCCAGTCCACTCCTAGTATTTAGCCATACCTTTCTTCAGAGTTTCTGTACCTCCATTCCTACCACCTTAGGCCCACTTTACCTCCTCGGCAGCGCTTCCATCCTAGGTTTCCTGCCTCCCAGACTCTCTTGTCTTCATCCCATCTTCATCCTGCTGCTTTAACATGAAGCCTCTGGAGCACTGATTTCCATCCTGCTCGCACCCTTCCCAGAACTCTCAAGTGGCTCTCAGCTATCTTCCACTTAAAGTCACAGCTCTGCAACCTGGCCTGGCCTGCCTTTCTAATCGTACTTAGGTTTCTCTGATATGAAAACTGTGCTTCCATCAAACTGTACTAACCAGCTGAACCAGTCAGCTATTTGTATAACAAACTACCCTGAAAGCAGCAACTGTGTTTTATTGATTACAAGTCTTCGGGGCAGATGAGCTCCACAAGCTCACGCACACATCTGGACAGCTGTGTTTTGAAGCCTGTGCTAATCACTCATCCTAGTGCCAGGACAGTAAGAATAGGAGCTAGGACAGGCCTGGGATTTCAAGAGTGGTCCCCCATGCACATGCAGAGAGAACGCCTGGATAGAGCCCCTCACCTGGGTGGGTCACACAACTGGCCAGAAGGCAAGGTTGGGTCTTTTTCCAGCCCAGCAGCACGTGGCTATTTGCAAGGCTGGTCTGAAACATAGTGTGGCCTGCTGTGCAGTCCGGAAGATGTCTTAGCTGGTAGCCATTCCCTACAAGCATCTGATATCCACATGGAGAGCGAAGCCCTCTGTCTGCTCTGGGCTGCTGAGCCCCCAGGGGGACCCGGGCTGCTACACTGAAAGGGAGCCTGAGGCTGGCTTGATTTTCACCAGGAAGGCATATGTAATGGCCTGATTCACAATGATCGCTTCCCGGGTTTCATCATTAGCTCTCATTGTTCCAGCCGGGCCTGCACCAGCACGGTGGAACAAGGAAGCATTTATGTCGCGGCTGTCATGTCTGGGATGGCCTCCTCATCACTGCAGCATCTCTGATTAATTCCAGCTGAAAGCAGCTCCCGCTCGGAGGACAAAGCCCATCAGAGACCGGTTAACAAAAGAAGACAAATGTCCCCATTGGGCCAATGGAGCGGGTGTGGAGCACATTTTTAGGGACCTAGCAATCTTTCCTTCAAAGAGCTACTGTTTCTTCATTTATTTATTTTTTTTTTGAGGAAATATATTTCTCTTTCCACACTATTTGTGTCATAATGCATTTGTATCCGTTGACTGCCTCGTCATTATTAATATGTGTATTGTTACTAATAAGTATTAATGACCCTAATTCTGTTGGCTAAAACAGCACAGAATAATTACTATTATTTATAATAATATTTTCCTACTCTGGACCAGTTCAGAAATCTCTCTTGTATGAAAATGGCAATGCTATGCCTCTGTTCTCACTGGGAAGATGGAATTCCCACAACTTCAGCATTAACATCCCAGAATCACAGAATGAAAGGAAGATTTTGTTCCCACGGCAAGTAGCCAAGGTCCTTGTTTTGGCTCAACAGTTGTGACATTTTCAGCAAATTTTCTTTGTCAGTGGCTTGAGTATATTTTTTATGTACCTGTTGGAAAAACAAAGGGAAGGAGTGTTTTGGTAAATCTGTTGCAGACCCATAAGCCACTCCTGGAGCTGGCCCATGTATATTAAGGTCCTGAGGTTCTGAAAAGCTAGCCTTTCTCAGAAAACAATCCCCAATAGAACCAAAGGATAGGATTTCTGCCTTGTCCATCCACTTCTGCAGCTGCGTTTCAACCTCTGATGATGACCACAGTGCTGTTCCCCTCCCCAGACCCAAGAATCAAAGTTTAAAAGTTCTCCCTGCTCATCTCAGAGGCTTGCCATTTTCAAAAGGATTCACACAGTTGATTCTGAGCAGACTGTCACCTAAAGAAATGGCACAAGGCAAAGTGCCAGCGACCAAAAGTCCCCTGCGGTAATTTAGACCCCCCTCACTTAGATGTAAATTAAGGCTGAGGAGATGAACCTGACCCATGGTATAAACACTGCAAATGGTGTAGGGGTAGGGTTCTCACTGGTAAGGTTAATTAATTTTTTCAGGGCCATTAGAATTATACTGTTAAGTGTCCTGGAAGAAGTAACATCATAAGAGTGATTTCCAGGAGTTTATTCACCTCAAGCTGGTGGGAAGTGTGGCTGCAGAAAAGACTAACTATTACTCCTCCAGGATAAGGCTTCTCACTCTGTTCTGGAAACTTGCTCATTTTGACTCGGTATTTCCCATGTCCCCTGCACAAGCCACTATAAAATTTTTTATTTGTTAGTGTGAAAATTATGTAATTGCTTCCCTGGGCTACCTGAATGTTTATGTGAGTTAGAAATCTTTCTCTTTTTACCCCCTGAAAATGCATTTTAAGAATTTTTCAGGTAGCAACAATTGGGAACAAACACTATAAATTTGAGGATTGCTTTATTAATGTATAATGTTTCAATCAATATGCTAATATATCCACTGATTCACGAGTATATGTCCATAGATTCAAACATTTAACCAGCTATTTATTGAACCTCTATATAGAACAATGGCAAAGTTAAAAAATTAACCAGGTAAGATTTGATAACTCAGGTGGGTTTTATAAGTTAACTATACATGGATAATCAATCATCCAATGGTAATAAAAAGTACTATGTTCTCTTGGAGTCCAGAAACAACCTTGTGGGGATTAGGACATTGGGGGGATGACTTCTGACCAGATTTAATCAGATGGACTTCATGGAGGAGGTGGCCATCTGGATACATACAGGAGTGATGGTCATGAAAGCATAGACCCCCTAAGTAGAGGTGCAGTGGGTAGAGCTGGGATGATGTGAAGGTTCCATGTAGCTGGAGCCTAGGGTTATAAGGAGAGTTGAGATTCAGCCAGAAAGGTCAATAGATGTTGGGTCACTGAAGGCCTTGAATCTCAGACTAATGGCCTGGGTTTTGTCCTGTGGCTGTGGCAGGCTGGAGTTTTGACAGCTGGGAAAGGCGTGGTCAGGTTTGAGTTTTAAGCTCACAATATTTGTCAAACTGCAATGTGCACCCAGATTGCTTGGGATTTTGTTAAAATGCAGATTCTGAACCAGTGGGTCTGGGGTGGGGCCTGAGAGCTTGCATTTGAACAAGCTCCCAGCTGATGCACCACAGCCGGGCCAGGGACCCCATGTAGAGTCGCAAAGCTTTAGGGAAGGCCCCTCTCCCAACAGGTTGGATTAGAGCAGGGGACTAGAAGCAAAGGAACCCATAAGGAACTAACCTAATTATCCTGGCTGAACAGATTGGACTTTCTTTTAAATCAAGGCTTGCTTTAGTCACTCATTTATACTGTGAGTTTCATTGTAAGTATAAGTAATGGTCTCATTTTCAGGTACAGTACTTACTGAGGTCATTGAGTTCTCAGGAGAATGATAGTTATCCATGACTAAGTACACGCTTTAGAAAGTGCAATGTGGATGGGTTGAATTTCTGTCCCTGGGACTTTTTCTCAAAAAGGCTGAAGAGAAAGAAAACAGCTTCTTTTGAAGGTGAGGAGCAAATGTGTATCAGAAGGACTAGACAGGTATGGGGTGTGAAGACGGCGGTCACACCTCCCTGGCTGAGACCCACAATTGTCTTCCCCAGTGATGCCACCCTGTTTGGCTCTCATAGCCACCACTCTATCCACAGTCATCTCTTCCTTCACTGTGCCCCACCCTTCTTCACCTTAGTGACTTCATTTCAGTCTTATGGTCCATTTGATCTCACCAACATTTCATTTCTTCTAAAATTTCTCAGAGTATTTTTCCAAGGGTTCAGCCATTTTTAAGTTTCTTAAAACTTTAAAGTAGCTAAATACTATTTAGTTACTATTTTAAGTAACTAAATGCTAAAAAAAATAAATAAATAAATAAATAAATCCAGCTTTTAAATTAAATAACTAGAAGCTCAAAGCACATTCCATTATTTATTTTTCAATAATGGTTGACATTTAATATTTTTTTATATTAGTTTTACATGTATAGCATAGTAGCTAGATAATCGTGTAATTTACAAAGTAATCCCCTCAGTATTCTAAGTACCTACCTGGCACCATACATAATTATTAGAATAATGGTGTATCACATGAATTGATTTGCAGATATTAAACCAACCTTGTATGTCAGGAATAAATCTCATTTGATTATGGTGTATGATCTTTTTAATTTATTGCTAAATTCGGTTTGCTAATATTTTATTGAGGATTTTAGTATCTGTCCATCAGGGATATGGGCCTATAATTTTCTTTCTTTGTAGTGTCTTCATCTAATTTTGGAACCAAGATAATACTGGCCTCATAAAAATGAGGTTGGGAGTCTTCTCTTGAATTTTTGGAATAATTTGAGAAGGATAGGTGTTAGTTCTTCTTTGAATGTTTGATAAAATTCATCTGTGAAAGCATCTGTCCAGGACTTGGGTTTGTTGGGAGTTTTTTTATTACTGCTTTGATTTTTATTGCTTGTAATCAGTCTGTTTAGATTTTGTTTCTTTTTTATTCAGTCTTGGAATAGTGTATGTTTCTAGGTATTTATCCATTTCTTTCAGATTGTCCAATTTGTTGGCATATAATTGTTAGTAGTATTTTCTCATAATCTTTTATATTTCTATGGTATCAGTTGTCACTTCTCTTCCATTTCTTTTTTTAGTTATTTAGATCCTCTCTCTCTTTTTTTTTTTTTCTTAATGAGTGTGGGTAAAGATTTATCAATCTTATTTATCTTTTCAAGGAATCATCTTTTGGTTTCATTGATCTTTGTGATTGTTGTGGGGTTTGTTTGTTTTTTACTCTATTTCAACTGTTTCTATTCTTAAGAAATATCTTTATGTATTATATTAAAACTAGAGGCCTAGGCATAAAATTTGTGCACAGTGTGTGTGTGTGTGTGTGTGTGTGTGTGTGTGTGTCCCTCAGCCCAGTCTGCACCCTCTCCAATCTGGGACATCCCTTTCACAATCCAGGACTGCTGACTTCTAACTGCTTGCCTGCATGCCTGCCTGATTGCTTCTAACTGCTTCTGCCTGCCAGCCTGATCACTCCTAACCACTCTCCTGCCACCCTGATTGACACCTAATTGCTCCCCTGTTGGCCCAATTGCCCTAACTTTCCTCCCCTGCCAGCCTGGTTGTCCCCTAACCACCCCTGTCAGCCTGGTTGCCCCCAACTGCCTTTCTCTGCAGGCCTGGTCCTTCCCAACTGCTCTCACTGCTGGCGTGGGCCCCCCAACTGCCCTCCCCTGCAGGCCTGGTTCCCCCCACTCAATTGCCCTTCCCTGCAGGTCTGGTCCCCTCCCCCCAACTGCCCTTCTTTGCAGGCCTGGCCTGCCCCCTCTAACTGTCCTCCCCTGCTAGCCTGATTGCACACAACTACCTTTCCTTGCCAGCCATCTTGTGGTGGCCATCTTGTGTCCACATGGGGGCAGCCACCTTGACCACATGGGGGCAGCCATCTTGTGTGTTGGATTGATAGTCAATTTGCATATTACTCTTTTATTAGATAGGATGCAAACGGATCACACACATAATAATATTAGTACATGTTGCAGAAATTCTAAGCCATATTTTAATTCAAATGTTTTAAAATACATTATTTTTTAGATTATATCTATTTAGATTTATGCACACTTATTTTTTATTTTTTTATTGATTTATTTCTTTATCAGAGAGTAAGGGAGAAGGAAAAAGAGCTAGAAACATCAATGATGAGAGAGAATCATTAATTGGCTGCCTCCTGCACACCCTCTACTGGGGATTGAGCCCGCCACCCAGGCATGTGCCCTTGGCCAGAATCAAACCTGAGACCCTTCAGTCCACAGGCTGACACTCTATCCACTGAGCCAAGCAGGCCAGGGCAAGATTTATGCACTTTTAAATATGCAACATTTCTAAATTATATAAATAATCCTCAAAAATTTAAATAATTCTTAAAAAGTCACCATATACCTATTATCTCCCTGTACAGACACAAACTAGAACATACAGTATGATTTCAGTATTTGAAGTTCAAAGACCAGGCAAAACTCATCCTTGGCATCTGACGTATGATAGTGGTTGCTGTTGGCAAGAGAAAAGTGATTAGAAAAGACACATAGATGTGAGAGAAACACACAATTGGTTGCTTCACACATGCATCCTGACCAGGGGGGCAGGGATCAAACCTGCAACCCAGGTATGTGTCTTTGACTGTAATTGAACCTGCCACCCTCAGTCGAAGGTTCCGAAGCTCTATCCAATGAGCCAAACTGACTAGAGGGGGTTTTTTTTGTTTTTTGTTTGTTTGTTTTTTAACATTCTTGAATGCTTAGAATGTTCCAAGCACTGTGAACAAGTCAGGTGAAATCCCTGCATATATTCTGGAATAAGGTAAATGTGTAAAATGCTGAGCACCAAGCCTAGCACAGAAAAGCACCTACTAAGCGTGAGCTTGTATAATCCCCTTTAGAAAGGGAGGAAGCTAGATGGTACGGGCAGACTGAAAGGCAGCGCAGAATGGACAGAAGGACGCTATAGGCCAGCGAACTGTGGGAAATGAGGCTGCAGGGCGGAGCAGGGCAGACCAGGTAGGACCCTGGGAAGGACCTACTTGAAAGGAATCAAAATGTCTCCTAAAACTCACAAGACGCCAGCTGATGGTTTTAACAGGAAAATGCATGCTCAGACAGGTCTACTTCCTTCTAACCCTCCGATAGTTCACCCTCGGTTCTCCGGTGTTCCAGCCTGAAGCGCACCTGCATACATTTTAGGCCTGGTGGCGGTGGGATTCGACTCTGGTTCCATTGGGGGGACCAGGAAGTGCTCCCAGGCCCCCCGCCCCTGGAGGCACCCACCCAGCAGCGAGCCTCTTCCATATGTTTCATCCCTGTGTGTCCCCTGGGCTAAGAAAACCTCACTTCTGGGAACCCAAAAGCTCGCTCCCCAGCTGCTTCCCAGTCACGCAGTGCCCCCTTTGCTTGTTAGATTGGGAAGGGACCTCGGAGAGTCCTGCCTCATTTTGTTCTGGCAGAAGGAGGCCAGACAGGTCCTTGGGTCACCAAGCCAGTGAGTAGGAAAATGGGAGCCTGACACCGGCTCTTGGGGACCCTCCTCTCTCCTGTCTCCACCCAGATGCAGGTGGAGAATTTCTGTTGTGCAGAGAAGGGGGTTTAGGGGCAGGTTAGCTGGGGACAGGGAGCTTGAAGCTGCCTTTGCATATAATGGTTTTATTTAAAATGGAGGAAACTTCAGCGTCTACATCAAAGACTGCGGGGCTGATGGAGAATGCACTTCTGTGCCCCCCAAGGCAGACAGAATCCCTTTTCCCTTCTAAAGAGCATAAAACCTTTGTCCTCGAATAATTTAAGGGGCCAGGGCTAGAGAGTGACACGGGAGGTAGGGAGGGTCTGGGCAGGATGGGTTACGAAATGGCCCTGGTGCTCCCCTTCTCTGCCTCAGTGACACAGTCATCATCACCCAAGTGCCTGCTGCTTTCTCTTTGAACTTGGGCCCAGTGTCCCCCTTCAGCAAGGGGAGTGGGGGGTCCAGGAGCACCACTGTCTGTCTCCGAGGCCCCATGCAAGTGGGAGGAGGTGGGGAGAGCTCGGGAGGGAGTGAGGGCTGCCTTCCAGCCAGAGGCTTGATGCTGTCCTCGCTCTGTTCCAGGGGAGGCTCAGACGCAAGAGCAAGACGGAGATGAAAGCTGTGCGGCTGCCGAGGTGCTGACAGCGCCGGAGGACGCCGGGCGGGCGGCTGTCAGCTCCCCAGCAAATCAGAGCCACGGGCCCGGACGCCAGCACTTTCATCCTTCATCACCCTCGTTACCTGCGGTGGAGGAAGAAGGCCACAGGCTTGGGAGGGAGGCCACGAAACTGACAGGGGAGCAGGCATCTGCAGAACCGGTGGGGCTCAGGGGAGAGGGTCCCCTGGAGGGACTGTCCCAGCCGGGCCTGCCTTCGGAGCAGCAGCAGCTGTCCAGGTCTTGCCAGGACCCCTTGGCATCCAGCCAGACAGCAGCCGAAGAAGCACCCACTGGGGAAGATGGCCAGGAGCCACCAGAGGATGGAGGTGCCAGGAGCACCGTGCAAACATGAAGGGCGGCGGGACGTGGCCTGAGGACACCTGGGTGGCACCGGGGACTGGAAAGGATGCACTGCTAGAACAGCTCTGCAAAGCTGCTTTCCCCCAGAACCCCTCTAGTCTGCCGGCGAGCAGAGACACCGCTCCTGCCGCAAACTGTGAAGGTCCCGGTGACGGTGATACCAGCGCCCTGTGGTTTATTAAATGCGGGTCCTCACACATCTCGGTGTCATCTCTCCTGCCGAGGATGCGCCGCTGCAAACAGGGCCATTGTGGCCGCCATATGGCTGGTTCCCGGCATCCCTCCTTGTGTCAGCATTTGGTGTCATCAGAGATGTGTTTTTTATTAGCGTTTCATGTCCATCAAAATTATGGGAGGGCTTCCCACCGATGGGGCTTTTAATCAGATCTCCGTCTTCGTCATGGCGAGACGGCTGGAGAGGAAGGTGTCGCTGAGCATCTTGGGTCCTGAGGGCCCGCCGCTCCCCGCATCCTGGCAGCCCCCTCTCCCCCAAGACCTCCCATCGGGGGTGTTCTTGGCATCCTGCCCGCAGCGGGCTCTGTCCTGGCCCTCACTGGCAGGCGGAAGGGGCTTAAGCAGGCCCAGAAGGTGGGGCTTCGGGTCTGGCATCCGCAGCCCCTGCAGAGACCTGCTTGCTGGCTGCTGGAGCCCCGTGGTCCAGCCGGTAATTCTGCAGGATTAATCGACTGCACTGAAGGCCGGGTGAGGCAGAAGAGGGGCACTCCAGGGTGTTTTCTATGTTTTGTTTCTGATGTGAGATGAGAGCTGGAACCTCCAAATGCTGTCTCTCTCATTCAACCGGACCTAGGGCCATGTGGGATTGGGGGCAGGATAGAGCTGCTTAGGGCCCAGTCAGTTTCCCGCCCCACCTGGAACCTCAAACCCATCCCTTCTCCAACAGAATGTGAAGGCTGCCTCCTCCATGCCCCCAGGAACAGGCATGTTAAAGACAAGACACTGAGCTCGTGACCCTAGAGTGGAAAGAGAGAGGAAAACGACTACCTTCCAGCCCGTGAGGGGGCTGTGGAACCAAGCACTAGGTTCACCTGTGGGGACAGGGCATGCTCAGCTCCACCAGGTTCCTTCCTTAAGGATAAAACAAGCTTCCCTTGGCAGCACCTGGCCCTGCAGGAAACTGAGACTTATCCAACGATAGGACTCTCTTGGAGCTGAACTCAGTTTCTTTTCCCAGGAAAACCCGATACCAGATCCCAAAGCTCAAAACACTCAGAACCAGAATCACCCTTTCATTCCAAGAGAGGTTCACTGGGTGGGAAAGGTTGAAAATTCACCCTAAAAACCGGACGATCACAATCCTGGGGAGAAACCTGCACCTGCGTGGCCGGCCCACCCTGACACTTCCTGTCACCCTTCATCTCCTGTAGCAGAATCGGAGCCCGTAGAAATCAGTGCTTCTCATTACGAAGAGGCAACGTGCAGACAAGAAGGCCCAGTCCTATGCCCCTTGCGTGAAGGGGGAGTCTCGGGCAGCTTTCTTTCCACTCACGGGAGGTCTGCCCTGCCGGTGGAATGGGGGCATGCCCGAATCAGTGCACTGTGGCTCCTGGTGAGCTGGACACACCATCTGCCTCCCCCCAACCCCCATCTGTCAGGCAGGAGTGCCCTTTTCCCCATTCTGTGCTCCAGCTTCTCCGCCCCCTCCCCAGACCCACCCCTCAGCTTCTCCTCTGGGGAGGCCATTTCCACAGCTGCAGAGCCCGCACAGCCCAGCAGCCACAGACATCACTTTCCTGCTGCACTCGGCCTTAATTGCCTGCAAATGTTCAGCCCTGCTGCACAGGAAAGCAGGCAGGTTTAATACCATCCTAACCAAAGGGATAGTGTCTCCCCGCAGAAGCTCTGGTTGGGACACATGGTTGGCCAGGTGCGCATCTTTAGGGCCCGTTCATGACTTTCCAGAAAGCAAAGCTTACAGTGAACTCCCAACACATTCCATCGTGGGCAGGAAACTGCCGTGAGCCCCAGGGAGCCTGGGGTGCAGGGCAGGGAGGTCATAGAGTGTGATCCCCCAAGCCCCCTGCGGGCGATCAGCCTAGAAAGGCTTTGTGTAATGAGATGGCATTGGAGCCAAGGAGTCGATCCTGTTGTCATGCTCCATACACACCTGTGGCATTGTCCCACCTCCGCTCTCCCAACCCAGCGTGGTTCTTCTGTTCCACAGCATTAAAGGGAGTTTCCGCCATTACTGATGGTTGCCTTTTGTCATACATATATGACAAATTAGTCATATATATGACAAATAAGGCCCAAAAATCAATAATATATATATATTATTGATTTTTACAGAGAGGAAGGAAGAGGGATAGAGAGATAAAAACATCAATGAGAGATATCCAGCTGCCTCCTGCACACCCCCCACTGGGGATCTGCCCACAACCAAGGTACATGCCCTTGACCGGAATCAAACCTGGGACCCTTGAGTCCGCAGGCTGACATTCTATCCACTGAGCCAAACCGGTCAGGGCTGCCTTTCGTCTTTTTTTAGGAGCCACTGTGAAAGGGTGCGGCCTTCTCTCCCCTATTTCACCAGATAACCCTGCATCAGTCAGGGTTTCCTCACCTGTAATTCACACTTCTTGTTTAAGAAACTTACGCAATAGAAAAATGAATTATACTGCATAACAAGAGCTTTAGAAGTAGGGGCTTCCAGGTCTGGTTCATGCAAGAAAGTCATCAAGGATCTGGGTCTCCGTCATCCTGCTCTGGCAACCTCAGTGTCAGCTACTCCCTCAAGCTCACGAGAACGTTGCAACAGCTCCAGCCAACACCACGTCTCACAGTAGTGTTCAAAGCCAAAAGAAAGCTTCCGAGTGTGTGTGTGTGTGTGTGTGTGTGTGTGTAAGAGCAAAGCACTCAGTTCTTGTCACATTTCATTGGTGAGAATTGCCTATGTCTAAACCAATCCCCGGTTGAGAGATGAAAGTATGTCCTGGGTTTAGGTTCACAAATTGGGGAGGGGCCCTGTCCTCGAACATGCAGACCATACAAGGGTAAACACTAAAACAAAGTCAGGTCTTGAGGAACATAAGTGAGTTGAGAATAGATTTGAGTAGTAGGCCATCAACAGCATTGTCACTGAACCCCACGTCTGATGGAGGGTTATCTGGTTTTTTAAAAATTGATTCTCCATTAAAAAAAAAACAAAAAAAAACAACAAAAAATATTATGTTACTGATGAGGGTGGCCTTGGGGGAGGAGGGAGGAGGTGGTATGCTGTTTTGCCAGTTGAGAAGAATGCCGCCACCTCTCCCCCCTCTTTTCACTTCTCCATCATCCGTCCTATTTTGAAGCTGGAACGCTCCCACCTTTGTTTACCTCCTCGAGTGTGTCTGTCCTGCCATTATTTTTCCAGCCTGGTTGCCAGCAGAATGCACAGCGCCCTGGATAAATGAAACGGGGCTGACAGGTCTCTTAATGAAAGCTTGTTCACACTGGCTGCATTGCTGGCGATCTCTCTGTACCCGGGAGCCTTTAGGTGAGGATTTTTACATATGAGTGTTTGTCGTTCTTTTAATTAAGGCTCACGGAAATGGATTGGTTTTTGCAAACCAGGCATTTCTCATCTCTAACGCCTCTCCCTTCCCAAGCCTCTCTGTCCTCCCCTGCCCCTTTCTTCTTTGCGGACACAGCCATTCCCCAAGCCTCTCCAGTGGGGCTGCTCATGGCCCTCAGCTCAACCCCTGCTGGAACCTCTGCCCAGCTGGCAACCTTAAATAAGCCAAATTCCTTTTCCCGTCCTTGTTCTTCCGCCCCCTCTCTCCCAAGAACCTTCGCATTAGGAAGTTCTTAAAAAGGGTTCTGTATCCGTCATTCACGTGTTGGGGTGCATTTTCGGATCTGTTCTTCCGACTAGAGCATTGAGGATGGGCACCCTGATTCCCCATGAGACATAAAAGGTCCAATCTCCTCTTTAATGAGTTTCAAAGACCAGCTACTTCCCTGTCTCTTTAAAATTACAGCATGACTTGGCTCCTCTTGGTTTTCTGTTCCTCAAAAAAAAAATAAAAATAAAAATAAAAATGGCACCTCCTCCTGGCTTGACCATTTCCCTGCATTCCTGGGCCTGGCTTGGTACCCCACTTCTCTTTGAGAGAGGTCTCTCTTTGAGCATCTTCTCCCTCTGCTTTCATTCGGGAAGTCTCCTTAATCATACGGAGGGTACCTTAGGATGTCAAAAAGGCAGAGGAGTCCCCTTAACTCACTAGGTTAATATATTCCCCTTTTTTCCAGATGTCTTTCTGAACAAAGAAAAATGCGAAGATCAGGGAGATGCAATAGAGAGCTCAGTAGTGAAGCTAAATAGAAACGAGAGTTAGAAAGAATAAGAAGGGCCCGTCTCTCGATATGATTGCTCACCAAAACAAAGCAAACCACATTGATACAGCATGAAGGCAATTTAAAAGGATAGATATTGATGTGCTGCCTTACATTTTGTATCACCTCTTTGCTAAATGAGAATGCTTTGGAATGCACAGTGAGTGTTTGTATACCACTGACAAGTCTGACTTTCTGGAACTTACCTGAGCCCGGGAATATAGATTTTTGGGAATCTCAGCCAAGGCCAGTGGTAACCTATTAAATTTAAAACAATTAGCTTTAAAAAAAGGGGAGGGGGGCAAAACAGCTGCTACTTTGTAGTTTAATTTTTTTAAAAAAGAAGTAACTTCTATTCATTTACAGGCTTTGCTTTATTATAGATTATATGATCATCATGTATCATGACTATATCGTTTTTGTTACCTGAAATAAATATGTGGTAATTTTATTTATACAGATGATTAATTATCTTTATTATTTGGGTCATTTTTTCTCTCTCTACCTCCGCTGCAGGCCAAACATTGGCTGAGCATTTCTTTATATTGTAGCAACTTATCAGTTACAAATCTATCCCCTAAAATTATTAGCTCATGTGCTCATCATGAAAATTAAGGAGAATGTAAAAATTTTATGCATTCAGTCCAAAATGCCAGATCTAAAATCAGTTCATTTATTTCCTGCAATCTTTCAAGTTGATCCAAGTACTCACTGATTTGCTCTATTTTCTCACATTTTTAGTATTTCTGTGTATATATATATATATATATATATATACACTGAAAAACCCAGCTCAGAAAAACTCACTGCAATTCTGAGAAAAAGCTTATACTAAACATCTAAAGATAGAATTTCTAATTATTGTCTACATTGTGTTTAAACTGTGCAAACTTGAGCTTTCTTCTCACTTTACCAGCTGTGTCTAGGTAAAGTCATTACATCAAATGCTTCTAATTTTACAAAAAGAAATCAAAACAAGTGTATGTTGAAGTCTCAGTGACAAATGCAAACCCTGTGAGTCAAATAGGCAAGCTGATTAGCAAGCTGGCTGGGAAGTCAAAACAGCAAATATAAAGACATTAACAAAATAGAACAGGAAGGGGAGAGGCTAAAAATAGCCTCCAGGGGCCAAGTCAGGGCTAAAGGACAGGTTTGGTGACAGGTTCTGGGCCAAAAAGCAAAGGCCTGCCTTTCTGGTCCACAACCTGTCCCTCATCTCCGATCCCCTCCCTGCAAGAGCTGGGATTGCAGAGTTTCTCTTCTAACAAACCTCAGAGGTGTCAGCCTTCCCTTTACTTGACTCTTCCCAGTGGTATGGCACTCAGTACCTAACAAGGGAGTCCAATCCATGAGGAGTAGCTATATTTCTGACCATAGCCAGGGTTACTAATTAGATACGTAGTTGATCCTGAGGTCTTCATGTGATGCTACAGCTTTCCTGAGTAATACTTGATTTAACCCTCACAACAATCCAACAGGATAGTCTTATTTTACACATGAGAAAAGCCAGGCCCAGAGAGGTGCAGTGACTTGCTCAGGTCACACAGCGTGTGAGTATGGCAGAGTCTGGGTCCCAAACAGGCTTTTCCAGCTGAGCCCGAGCCATCAGCCATCACTCTCGGATGCATTCCTTTGCCTGGCAGGGAACTGGAATTGGCCCTTGTATTAGTTCCTCTCTGCTTCTTGGCTCTGGAGCCCCATGGAATAGTACCATGGTGTGCAAACTGCGGCTCGCGAGCCACACGTGGCTCTTTGGCCCCTTGAGTGTGGCTCTTCCACAAAATACCACAGCCTGGGCGAGTCTATTTTGAAGAAGTGGTGTTAGAAGAAGTTTAAATTTAAAAAGTTTGGCTCTCAAAAGAAATTTCAATGGAGGTACTGTTGATATTTGGCTCTGTTGACTAATGAGTTTGCCAACCACTGGAATCCATTCCACTCCCGTTGATGGACAGAACAGAAAGGAGTAGGTCTGCTGGGATCTCTCCTCAGTCTGAGGGGCTGAGGGTAGTGAAGAGAGAAACTAAGAACAGAAGGTGCTATGGTCTGAATGTGTCCCCCCAAAATAGACATGTAGAAATGCTATCCCTCAGAGATGATGGTTGTAGGAGGTGGAGCCTTTGGGAGATCCCAAAATCAAGCGAGAGAGAGAGAGAGAGAGAGAGGAGAGAAAGAGAGAGAGAGAGGCAGGCATGAATGAGATTAGTACCTAAAGGGATTCAGAGAGATGCCTTGCACCTTCCACCATGTGAGGATACGGCAAAAAAGCCCTGGCTGTGAACCCCACAAAAGGTCTCTGAGCTGGCCATGCTGGTGCCATGATCTCAGACCTCCAGCCTCCAGGAGTGAGAAAAATCAATTCCTGTTGTTTCTAAGTTACACAGTCGTGTGTGTGTGTGTGTGTGTGTGTGTGTGTGTGTGTGTGTGATAGCAGCCCCAACAGAGGAAGACAGAAGGTAAGTGGTGGAAATCACCAGTCTCCTTCTGAAAAATAAACCCAAACCTCCTTGGGTGATCCCGAATTAACCTACAATCTGGCAGCAGAGTCAAAGATGACGTGGCTGGCATTTTAGTCCCCTGTAATTGCTGCCTGGCCGTGCTTGGAACTCTTAATTGTGGGGCTAGGTGAGCCCATCTCTTTGAGATCAGGATATTTAAAGACTCGGTTTGCTCATCCCCTTTCAGTGCTGACCTGTAGAGTTCATGTTAAGGTTTCAAACCAGTGAGAACCAGTTGGTGGAGCAGAGTCACCAGACAAGAATAGCCTTTCTCCCCAATTGTCATTTGGGTTCAAAGCAAGAACTTTCAATGACAAGTTAGTCCTAGTAAGCGGTAAAAATAACCGCTGGGGATGGGTTTCTGGCTAAGGGTCGGGGTGACTCACTGTTGTAAGAGTTGGGGGAGACACAGAAGCTGCCTCCAGCTAACCAGGGTGCAAACGCCTGGGCTTGGGTCTACTATACCAGGAGGTTGAAAAGTTATTATGAGAACTTTTGTTCAGTAAATGAAGGTGGATACACAAGACTGAGCTAGTCTGTGTGCAGATTGTGATTTTCAAAAACAGGCTGAAACTCCAAGCTTTGAATTAAAACCAGCCTGTCTCCGGGCCCCCCTGCCTCCAAGTGCCTTTGTGTGGAGAAGAGCATCGTCCGGGTTGTGCAAAGGCCGGACAATGCTGTGTGCCAGCACACCCTCCTGGAACTTGCCCAACTGGACCTCAGCCACCGGGAAAATGGACCTCAGGCAGTGGTGAGGAGCCCCAGGGCCCAGACCCGTGGCCCCAGGGTGGGAATCACCCACAGCCTATGGCAAACAGATTTCCTTCTCTTTGGCTGGGTTCCACAGCTCTGGGATGAAGCCCAGGAAACGGAATTTCCCTCTCCCCCTTCCCACAACAATCCTGGCAGGCAGAACTGGGATGAGGGGGCTAAGGAGAAGTCCTGCAGGGGGTTTGGGAAATAGCTCCGCTATTTTCAAACAGTAACTGAGCCAGGGAGAGAAGCCTCAGACAAACAAAGGAACCGAGGTCCTGATGCAGTGCTGAGAGGCTGCGTTTTTAATGTGCGACGTGAAGATGGCCAGGCCACCCCAGAGGGCATCTCTCTGCAGGGTGGCGAGGTGCTGAAACTAGCCAAAGGCTCCTTACTGCAGGTGGTGGGCTGGCAGGGTCACGCATGGGTGGTGGGTGGGGAGGTGGGGACTCTAGGCAACCCCAGGACGGGCCTTCGAGAGCCTGGCGGAATCTAGGGGGCGGGGGAGTTAGGAGGTGGTGTCCTGAGGGCATAGAGGTATCTCGGGGCGCATGGGGTGAGGGCAGGGGTGACAGGGTAGAAAAGGACATCAGGAGTCTAGGAGGCCCTAAGGGTAGATGGGGTAGATGGTGGGTGGAGGGGCGTACCTCTGGGGGTTCTTAGAGCTCAGGTTGGGGGTGTTCCGAAGGGGGGCTACCCTTTGGATGGAGGGGGACTACCCTCTGGATGGAGGGGGATGTGCCCTCTGGATGGAGGGGGTTCTCAGCAGGCCTGGCTGGAGATCTCAGGGTAGAGGATGTCTCTAGAAGAAGAAGGAGATCATCAAGGCGGGGCAGGGTCTTTGGGGAGACGGAGGAGCTTGGAGGGGTGCACGGAGAGCTCAGGCCGCCTTGCTCTCCCGCCGCCGCTTCTTTCGCTCCTTGCGCTGCTGGTGCTCCTGCTCCAGGCGCGCCCAGTGCTCGGGCCCGCACAGGCCCACCACGCAGCAGGCCAGCCGGCGGCCCGCGTTGCCGTTCTGCAGGCTGGCCGCGTTGCTGCCCAGCCCCAGGTCGTCCTCGCCCGCGTGCACCACCACGGCGCGGCCCACGATGGAGTGCGGGCCGCTGAGCGAGGCGGCCAGGCCGGCCCGGTACCTCCAGAGGCCGCCGCCGCGCACCACGAAGTTGCCGAAGTCGCCCGGGTGCTGCGGGTGCAGCACGCCCAGCGGGTTGTAGTGCGGCCCAGTGGCCTCGCAGCCCCGCATCGTGTCCCCGAACTGGTGCACGTGGATGGCGCGGCTGGAGTTGTAGGGCTCCGTGGGGAAGCCCTTCAGGTCGAAGTAGGCGTCGAGCCGGCCACCGGGCGCCAGCTGCCGGAACAGCACGAGGCCGGTCACCCGGGGCTCCGCGGCGTCCAGGCTGGCCGACGGCCGCACCTCGCAGGCCGCGTACAGCGTGCTGGCCGCCCGCCGCCGGGCCAGCTCCTCCCGGCTCTCCGGGTCTCCATTCGGCTGCTCGGGGCCCCCGAAGCCCGAGGCACAGGCCACCAGAAAGCAGCAGGCACACAGCAGCGCCAGCATGGCTGGACTCCTCTGGCACCTGCGGGCACCCCTGGGTGGGAGGGGGGCGTGAAGTGAGGCTTAGTAATAGAGACAGGGAATCCAGGGACCAAAGTCTTTAGATCCAACCCATCCCCACTAACAGACGTCCTTATCCAGTCCGTTCCGACCCACAGCCCTTATTTTGCCAGATCCAGAAACTGTGCTTATGAATGACATGAAATTCTCAATAAACTGACTCGTAGCGATCTTTCTGAGCCACGAATCTGATCATGGTTCTCCCAAGTCCTAGCTTCCTGGGTGGGGAGGACCTCAGGGCGCCTGAGAGGAAGCTCGTGGTCCTTCCAGACGCCTCCCTGTCTGCATCTCCCTCCCTGCCATCCTAAGCACCCACCTTGCAGGCACTCCTAAGACTCGCTGCCCCTGCCTTCTGGGTCTCTGCCGTGTGGTGCCCTTTCTCTGAAGTGCCCTGTCCCCCTTCTCAACCAGGTTCAGTGGATGTGAACACAGATGTGTCTCTTTTGCTCATCAGTACCCCGGCGCCTGGGCCTGCACCTTTAATAGGTGATTGTTGAATGAGGAGTTCACTGAGGGACAGACATGCCATCAAATCGTTCCAGCTTCATCTTGTGATTAAAGATGGAGCCGGGTGCTAGGAATAGACGGAGGAAGCAGTGTCCATGTCTCTGAGGAACTCCTGGAAGGCTTCCAGGAGGAGGTGGTTTTTGAGCTGGGTTCTACAAGGAGTTTTTCAGCCAAGCCAGTTTGAAAGCTCATTTCAGGCAGAAAGCACAGCATGGCATGTTCACACGCTGTGAAAGGACATTGTTAGGGGAGGGGGGATTCAGTGTGGCTGGAACATGGCCTGGGCCACGGGGAGAAGTCGAAGCTCAAGAGTAAACTTTGAGCCAGGGGATGGGTTTGCTGTGCTGATCGTGGATATTAGCTGGGAGGCTTGTGTGCATGGGCGTCTTTAAGCAGAAAAGTGGGTGATGTGATAGCTTTTAGCTCATTATGTCTGGCAGGAGGAAGGATGTGGGCTGGCCTTTGGGAGAGAAGAAATGGGAATGGCCTAGGGAGAGATGGAGACATGGAGAAGGAGAAACAGATAGTCAGAGGGCGATGAATCAGGAAGCTGTTGCAGCAACAATGAAGGCTTTTTCCAAGATGGAGGCAGCAGAGGTAGAGGAGGCATGGATTGGGGAGACCTGTGGGGAATCCTGAGGGGAAGAAGGGGAGAAGTTGAGGATGCCTAGGTTCACAGAGGAGACTGGGTGCCTGGACGGTGGTCAAAGGCATGAGGAGAGAGGGGAAGATGCTGGAGAGTGCCCATGTGGGATACTCAGCAGAGGCCTGGAAATGCAACTGCGACACACGGAGGCAGCAGCGCAGCTGGGCAGGGTTCTCAGGATTGGCTGCACATGACATTCTGGCTCTTAAACCACCTGAGGCCTGCGCTCCCTAAGAAAATCTGATCCTGTGGGCCGGAATTGTCTTTAAAAAAATAAAATAAAAATAAAAAAAACTCCATCAAAGATTCTGGAACCCAGCCAGACACAGATTCAAATGCCAATGCCAACAACTGTGACATCACCGGGGAGGTCTGACTCTGCCTTAGCTACTTGTAAATAAGCCCAGTATAACTACCACGGGTCCCAGGAAGGATTAAATAAGTTACTATATTCGAGGTCCCCTTCACATACTTAAGTCTGCCCACAGGGGTCACTGCTGCCTCCCAAAAGCTGGTTTGAGGGTCAACTGCCCTTTCAAAGGCCTTTTCCAACCCCAAAGCCAGCGTCATGGTAGAAGCCAACACCGGGATTGATTATTGGTTCTTTCCACGACCATTACAGAAAGGTGGTCTGGGAGGGTGATGAAGAGAATAGATGCTGAGCCCTGGCCAGGTGTTCATTCAGTTGGTTGGAGCATCGGCCCAGGTACCCAGGGTTTTGATTCCCAGTCAGGGCACATGCCTAGCTTTCGGATTCAATCCCCAGTCAGGGAGAGTATGGAAAGGAACCGAATGATGTTTCTCACATCGCTGTTTCTCTCCTCCCCACCTCTCTCACTAAAATCAGTTTTAAAAAACAACCAAAAATGTGTCCCTGGGAAAGGAGTAAAAATAATAACAATAGATTCTGAAGCTCGGTGCGTAGGTCTGAAACTGACTAGGTCTGAACCCTGTGCTCGCCAAGGGTTCGCTGTTCCTGTTAGCAGAGTGGCTGGACTGCAAACTCTAGCCAGGCTCCACCTCCTCTCTGAGCCTCAGTTTTCGTAATCCGCAATTAGGGATAATTACACTTTCCTTCCAGCTTTGCTGTGACACTCAGAAGAGACCATTAGAATTGCTAACATATATTGAACACACGTGCCAGGCACTGTTGAAAGCAGTTGGCACGTGTCGATTCATGCGAGCCTCACAAGAACTCTGTGGGGTAGGTAGTATTGTGAACTCCATCTTGAAGCGTGGGGAAACTGAGGCACAGAGAGGCGAGTGTGTTGTCCAAGGTTACACGTTCTGTAACAGTGGAGGACAAGACTGGAAAGCGTGTGGTCTGCTCTGAGCCCCTGGCCTAGACCCCACCCTGCACAGCTCTCATCGAGGGCACGGAGCTCAGCGCTGATGCCCAGAAAGTTCTCAGTGAATGGCAGCTCTTTGCTCGGGGATCAGAGACAAACCATGAACAGAGATTTCAGGCCCATCAGATAAGAGCTGATACCGAAGCCGTGGGCAGAGACTCCAAGGAGTGGCAGCTGAGGGGGAAAGCCCAGAGAGCGACATCCAGAGAACCACCTCTGACATGGCCTGGCGTGACATAGCCCGGGAAGTGCCTGCAGCCATGGGACCATCCCTGCCAGGCCTCAGCCTAACTCTCCATCATCTGGGGCCGACCCCTTCCTCTGAGGCAGTCCTACCCCAGAGGGCTCTGCCAACTGGAAAATTCTTCCTTAAAAGCATAGAGCAAAAACAGACTGTCCACTCGAGCACACTTGGCTAATAATTAACATGCTATGGAGATGTTTTTCTCTTAAAAAGAAAACACGTCCTGAACGCCAGACAAGCCCTGACTCTGGGGTTCTTAGGCTTTCTACTTCTGTCCCTGGAGGCCAGCTCCCATAAGGCTCAGCCTTCCCACACAGTCTCCCCCTTCGTTTGAACTGTGGGTGGCCAAGTGGTTTTTCAGGATCCGGTCTGGGGGGACAAGATAATGCCTCGCCTCCCTCCTCGAAAGAGTCTGGCTGGGAACCTGTGCCACCTCCCCCAAGCAGGTGGCTCTTTCTCAGTGTAGCTCCCACCACCGGAGCCATGCGGCGCCCAGAGAGGGCAGCCTAGTGCCCTCCGGACTGATCTCTTCTAGCATTGAGGTCCCCTCGGTCAGTCTGGCCCTGGCAGGTCCACAGGAGAACAGCTCTGTCTCCCACCTGCCTTCCTCACCCCTCTCCCCAGCTCCCTGCTCATTCCCTCCAAGCAGCCAGCCTGTCCCTCTTTCTGTCTCAAGAAGATGATCAAAGACTTTCCCAAGAGGAGGCCTCGGGTCCCACCCCAGTTTAAACTCTCCCTAGGCGCTCTCTGAGAAGAAGGAAATGAACCTCCACTTGGCACCCACCTTGCCAGCCCTTCCAAGAGCGTTTCCCCTGCTGAGGAGTGGAGAGCAGCTCCCTGCACACGCAGTTGCAGACGGTCTGGTCCCTGGAATGCCAACTGACTCCCAGGCCTGGGCCCGGGCTGCCTGTGGGTGTGCCGGAAGGCCAGCCCAGGGGAGTGGTCACCCTGAGGAAAGAAGGTCATTGGGTGGTTGGGGAGGGAAAGCAGGCCAAGCTGGCTGGCCCTTGTGGGGTTGCCTCACCTCCTTCTCCTCTGTTCCTTCCTCCCCCAGCTCCTCCCCAGCTCCGGGGTTCCCGGCCAAGTATTCCTTGTCAGTGACCTCTTTGGTGTGCACAGACGTAGCCAGTGCCCTTCAGCACGCGGCAGCAGGGGAATAAAAATGAGACCGAAAATAGCCTGTGTGGAAAGGTGGACAATGGTTTCTTTAATGAGAGGCCCTTTGCTCTCTCTCTCTAGATTTCCCTAGCTACTGACTCATTCTGGCTGGACGCTTTCATGGTGGAGATGGGCACCTGGCAGGTATGCATGGTGTTTGTCAGAGCTGGGAGGCAGGTGTGGTGGCACGGATGGATGGCAGAGGCCCAGCTGTGTCCTGTCCTAGTGCTGGGATCCTGGCCCGGGGGTCTCCCTGTGCCTCTGTTTCTTAATCTGCATCTGTGAAATGGGGATGGCATGCTAACCGGTACCATCGTCACCAGCGTTGCTGTCGCCTTATTAGAGATGTTACGGAGTACGGAGTCTGCGTGGACCTTGAGCACATCTCCTCCCCAGCAGCCTTTCTTCCGTTGCTGCTATGATCTTGCCTCAATCACAGACTCTTCCAGAAATAGCAGCTTTTCTGCCCCGGAAAAACTCACGTGGGAAAAGGCAGCTGGCCTGACAGACTATGTGTCCTCCAGCCTTCTTTCCACAAGCCCTTAGTGGGTGCTCACAGCATCCCAGGTCTTGCAGGGTGTGCAGGTGTCCAAAGCAGCAGGGGTTCCTGCCCTCAGGGGACACATACTCTACAGATAGGAAGCATGGGGCGGGGGAGGATGGGTGGGGTGGGGGGAAGACAGCAGTGTCAACAGGTCCTTCCATTATGGAGTGGGGAGTGCAGCTGGGGAGGGATGGACAGGGCCCCTAGAGGCCCAAACACTAATCCTGGCCCCAGGAAAACTGGTTCCACATCCAGACTCTGGCCCCACCCAGGCTGAGTGAATCGCACACCAGCGGCGCTTCCTGGAATCATCTTTTAAAAAGCTGGTCATTCTAGTGAGCGGCCAAGTCTGAAAACCACTACTTGGCAGGAAGAACTTGAACTGAAGATCTTTGGCCGGGACAGCCAGTCCAGATGATAACGTGGAAACTTCTGGGAAGTCAGGGCTCCAGCCCTCTGCCCAGCCATCCATCCTCCGGCTCCGGGGAACTCCTCGGCTCTGCCCCTACTGCTCTGCATTCTGCAGCTGGGCGTAGTGTCTGTACTGGGCTATGGACTTTCCAGAGTTCCGGCCACCATTCCCACCCCGCCCCAGTCCAGAATGTTCTGTTGTCTCATGATAAACCTTTCATTGATTTTTTTTAACTCTGTATTTTCATTCCGTTCTTGAAATAATAACAATTATGTAAATTCATGATTGCTGTAGCCAGTGGTGCTTTCTTCATTTAATCTGATTTTCTTTCTTTTAAGGTCCAAGAAAGATCTCCATATGGACTTCTAGAACTGGTGTTAAAGTTCATACTCTTTCATCTTTAGGGCCTTTTAGGGGAAATTCACCCTGACCCTGGCAATATCTAATTCCTCTTCCGTTGGCAATAGCACCCCGATTTCCTCCTTGGAAACCATTGCACTTTCAGAGGGTACTGACTCCACCCCTTGTTCCTACCTTCCCTTCCCCCGCTCATGTTAGGGTTGCATTGGTTCCTAGATAATCCATTCAGAGCTAATGAGTGCACTGACACTTTTGCTGGGACTGTTGGAAGAGAGGAATCCTCTCTTATCCCCTGGACTTGAACTGAAGGAGAAAGAAGGATGATATTGCAGCCACCTTGCCCCGATAAGAGAGAACCTGTCTGAAGAGAGGGCCAATGTGGAGGGGAGCAGAATAAAAGTAAGGTGAAGTCTGGACCCAACAGCAGTGTTTGAGCCCCTGGATCTCGCCATGCCTATAGCTTTAATTTTTATTGAGGAGGTCAATACATTTTTATTTTTGCTTAAGTTATTTGGATTGGACTTAACTGAACACTTTATAAAACACGTCCTTATATGATATGCTATTCAATGCTTTCAATGATTGTGTGGACTGGCTATTCATTTGCTCACTATGCAGACAAGGAAATAAAGTTCACAGAGAATAAGAAATGGGCCCAAAGTTGCAGAACTAGGAAATAGCAAAGTCAAGATTTCAACTCAAGACTCTCTGATTCCTAATCATTACACTTTACTATCTCCCAGGCTACAAAGGAAAGATAAATTAGAAACAACATGTGAGTCTACCAAGGCGTAGTTATCTCTGTAACATCAGTGCCTGCCCTGCACTCGAGACATAGAAATGTTGGCATCTAAACCAACCCTTGCCCCACCCTGTGCAACAGGAAACTGAGAGCCTTGGCAAGCAGCCATATTAGGAGATGCAGATGTACAATACTTATATCTGCAGGGTGGGGCAAAAGTAGGTTTACAGCTGTGAGACTGCAAAAGATAGTTTATTCTTGTATTATTTACTTATTCGTTATTGTATTATTTTCTATATGAACCTCTGGTAAACCCACTTTTGCCCCACCCTGTTCATAGAAGAAATCTCTGCTAGAGGACTTTGTTCTTCTTTTATACAGAAACTAGAGGCCCAGTGCATGAAATTTGTGCACTCTGGGAGTTGGGGGAGGGGGCGTCACTCAGCCCGGCCTGTGCCCTCTCGCAGTCTGGGAGCCCTTGGAGGATGTCCAACTGATGGCTTAGGCAGGGAGCGGGCCTAAACCGTGAGTCGGATATCCTCAGTGCTACCGAAGAGGTAGGAGAGGCTCCCACCACCGCTGCTGGACTCGCCAGCTGTCAGCCCAGCTTGTGGCTGAGCAGCGCTTCCTCTGTGGGAGTGCACTGACCAACTGGGAGGCAGCTCCTGCATTGAGCATCTGCACCTTGGTGTTCAGTGCATGCCATAGTGACTGTTCATTCCGCCATTCGGTCAGTTTGCATCTTAGCCTTTTATTATGTAGGATACCAGTTGTAAACAGCTTCCCTCTCACTGTGTTAAAAAAGCCAGTAGAGTGAAAGTATACCAGGAAATAAGTGGTTACCACGAAGAGAAAAAATTTACAAGCAACGATTAGGGTTCCAGGCTGCCTCCCTAAAAGGGTAAGTTCTGGGTCATAACAGGCTACCCAACCAGAGCCCTTCAGACATGCCCCAGGAGACTTCAAGAGTGTCTTACCTGCATATGGTTCTTCCAGAAACCCCTGGGGGAGGGAGTGGGACCAGGTCACTGCATAATTCAATCTTGGATCCTCTCATTTTGTCCAAAACACATTTGGATAATCTGGAGGAGGGTGTGAGCAGTGGGGGGAGGTTGGGGAGAGCCTTGTTGGCAAGGTGGGCAGGAAGGAAAAAGGCATCATTCTTATTAATATAGTAATCATATCGAACATTTATTAAGTGCTGCTTGTGTGCCAGGCACTTATTAAGCAATTTACAGGCACCTTTTCATCTGAGTTAATGGCACTGCTCCTCAATGAAAAAGACAGATTGCATTCTGTGTCCACGTCACATTCTGGCAAGTGTCCCTTTCACATCACCCTCCCATTCAAGCGTCTGGACAATGTGTTTGAATCAAAAAGTAATGAACACCAGTCAGAACCAGGAGTTTCTCAATTAGGTCCACTTGAATGGCCACGTGAGAACAGTGACCAAAGGTTGGACACAAAAGCAATGCCTTTTCTGACCAGAAGGTGAGTGTGTGCAAAGCATTCTCAGGAAAGCACAGAGTGAAATCCCTCTGGGCTACGTTTTCATGGACCCTGACCTTGTCTCCAGGTCTGCTTTCTGGCTGGACCTGCAAGAAGAAGCTCAAGTCATTCAAAAGCGAGATGCAGTATGAGTAACTCCAAAGCATATCCCAGGTGGTACTTATTTCCTCAAAATAACTGCATAGTACATTCTGCTTGGAAGAAGAGAAGCCTTTTCCAGCCTACTTTCTAGTCATGTTGATTTAAAAATATTTGGTGAGCATGGCCAGTGTGGCTCAGTGGTTGAGCATCAACCTATGAACCAGGAGGTCATTTTGACTCACCGTCAGGGCACATACCCAGGTTGTGGGCTCAATCCCCAATGTGGGGCATGCAGGAGGCAGCTGATCAATAATTCTTTTTCATCATTAATGTTTCTATGTCCCTCTCCCTCTCTGAAATCAATAAAAAATATATTGTAAAATGTATAAATCTGTTAAGCCCACAGCCTACATCTACCCATCTTCTTGCTGTCTCCCATTGCACAAGTTGAAAAGCCATTGGCCACCTCTTCAACTTCCCCCTGCTGACCACACACACACACACACACACACACACACACACACACACCCTGCAACCTCATCATAATGAAGAAATACTCTCCCTACTCAGCCAGCTTGGCCCAGTCCCTTGCCTGCACTACACCATCATGGCCAAACAGAAAACAAGGGCAGAAAAACCTCAGGGAATGTGTGAAAAATGCACAAACCTCACAACATGTGGAGAACAGAATGTAGGGAAAGGTACTAGACCTTCTCTTCTCCTAGGTTTATAGAAAATCATTGCTGAAAGAAACTACAGAGGAAGGAGAGGTCTTATGATTCAGCCTCCATTATAGAAAATGAATTAGGATGTGTAAGTGCTAACAGGATTCCAAAGCTTCAGATTCTAAGCCCAGGGAAGGAAATTGTCAGGAAAGCAGCCGTGGGTCTCAGAAAATGAGGGCAGTATGGCTCTGGCCACTGTTAAATGATGGCTAAATGGAATGGGTGACCACCTTCACCACATCCTCCAAACCACCATCACCCACTATGTCCTCCCAGATGGTAAAGCCACAAGCCAGCAGCATCTGGAAGATTGGAAGGTTCTGTGATATGGCCCCAGTAGCATATTCTGCATTTCATTTCACAGAGGTTGGAGCATTCTTACAAAGCAATCAAGCTCCTCCCAGTGCTCTGGGCCCTGGCCCAGCTATGGAGGACAACATCTTGCCCTAC